CCAGTATTGTTTCTTGCGATGGTACTTGTTGTAGCCCGGTGCTGCACACAGTGGCACATCACACGACTTGCTGCTCACAGTGGCACATCACACGACTTGCTGCTCACAGTGGCACATCACACGACTTGCACTTATACCTGGTGTATTGTGGCGCTCAGTTTAAAATCAGTCCCCCAAAAATCGGATAAAAACCTGAATTTTAGCAAATATATTATCTTTTGATGCCATACTGCATCATTACTGCATGAAAGTGTTAAGGTCTTGGTATACCTTAAGATCTTGGTATACATTAAGATGTGCGCACTAAGATCTTTATGTATGTTAAGGTCTTGGCGTACGTTAAGATATAAGTGTACATAAGGTCTTGGCATATGTTAAGGTTTTGGCATACACAAAGGTCTTGGTGTATGTTAAGGTCTAATAGTGTGTTAAGGTCTTAGTGTACATTTAGGTCTTGGAGTAGGCTCAATACCTCGGTAAAGTTCAACACATCTGAAGAAAGTTATTATTCTTACATTAGGCATTTAAATAGTTGTTCATTTTTAATTATATTTGAGAGTGCGTACAAATGCTGGATGACCCGTCTGACTTTGTTGTAAGTGTAGCAGCAAGTGTGTCGTTGTGTTGTGTTTGGCTTGTGTAATATCCCTTGTAAACACTTGTGTTCACGGTGCGCTTATAATAAATATTTAATAATAAATAATTAGTTCCTTGTTATGAGATTCAAATTTTAATTTGCCCTGTACATAGTCTTTTTATTATTTTGGTTGTGTTTATTTTGTAGTTGCTTGAAATTAATATAGATTATATACTATATATAATATATTATAGTGTATATATATATATAATAGTGTATATATATATATATATATAATACAGTATATATATGTTTTTCTTGTGCACATTGTGAAAGAGCACTTGCTTCTAGTACACTAGTAGACCACCTAGAGAAACTAGAGTGAGTTCTAGGTACTTGTTTGTGGCTTTTATTATGCGTGACTCTGACTTTACGTAGCCGTTATGGAATATCTAGAAGATATAATGTGTGTGTAGTGGCGTTACACACTGTAGCCTAAGGTTATTAGTGTGTGTAGTGGCGTTACACGCTCTAGCCTAAGGTTATTAGTGTGTGTAGTGGCGTTACACTCTGTAGCCTAAGGTTATTAGTGTGTGTAGTGGCGTTACACTCTGTAGCCTAAGGTTATTAGTGTGTGTAGTGGCGTTACACTCTGTAGCCTAAGGTTATTAGTGTGTGTAGTGGCGTTACACGCTCTAGCCTAAGGTTATTAGTGTGTGTAGTGGCGTTACACGCTCTAGCCTAAGGTTATTAGTGTGTGTAGTGGCGTTACACTCTGTAGCCTAAGGTTATTAGTGTGTGTAGTGGCGTTACACTCTGTAGCCTAAGGTTATTAGTAACAAAATATTCATAATAATTATCAACTCATTCATGCTATTTCAGTTTTGCTTTTCAAGTTCGAGTAATGTTGTCACTGAGTGTTTCATCTGTGTGCTTCTCGCTTGTGTTTGACGGCTCTTGTCATCAATGTTAAGAAAACCACTTTTGATATTTACCAAAAATGAGCTTAAATATAATTCATTCAATATGATTAATACAAATATGCCAAGTTTCTGTAAAAAATTTACTAAGATGGTATAAAGTCAAGTTAGACGATGAGAAACATTATATAATGGTAACTATTGTGATGAAACATGAGATGCCTAACATTCCTGACTAACATCAATGTGGTGTAAATATTCAAGATAAATTAAACTAATTTTTTTTCTGCAACAACAGCGACAGGGAAGCCAGCACAGTGACACGGGGGACTGGACGAGCGGTGCGGGCAGCCTCGGGGGCCCGGGCACTGTAAACAGCTGTGGCCTGCCTGCAGACGTAGCAGAGTTGCAACACCGGCTCCTGGAGCAGCGACTGAGGCAACAACAGAGGCAGACAGAGGAGGACAACCGCTGGTTGGCGCACGAGGAAAACAATATGGTGAGGCATTGACCCCCATGCTTTTAAGAAATGTCCCTCATTATGTATAAGATTAGTCATGAATTTATAAGAGATTAACTGGAAAGTAGCATAATGGAAAGTAGCATATTGCTCTGATGTGTGACATCAGAGCAATACACCATATTCAATACATGGTCCAGTTACTAAAGTTGAAGACAAAACCACTAGAAAGCAACTATTAACTTGTTTGGTGCAACCACCGCTACGAAAACAACCTTTAAACAACACATTCCATGGGGCCTGGTAGCCTAGTGTTATAGCGCGCAGGACTCGTAATTCTGTGGCACGGGTTCGATTCCCGCACCAGGCAGAAACAAATGGGCAAAGTTTCTTTCACCCTGAATACCCCTGTTACCTAGCAGAAAATAAGTACCTGGGAGTTAGTCAGCTGTCACAGGCTGCTTCCTGGGGTGTGTGTGGAGAGAGAGAGAAAAAAAAGTAGTTAGTAAACAGTTGATTGACAGTTGAGAGGCGGGCCAAAAGAGCAAAGCTCAACCCCCGCAAACACAACTAGGTGAATACATTATAAAATCGGCAAGAAAACTGGAAGGTTGAATAACAAGAAGTTTTGAAACAAGAGATATCAGACCAATAATGATACTAGTGCTCTCTAGTGTGGAATATTGTTACATACTAAAAGCTTCAGTCAGCTGGGAAAGTTGCTCACCTGAAGAACATGTAGAGATCTTCTATTACCTGAATCTGTTAAATAAAATATGTAAATTATTGGGGCCACTTACAATCTCTCAAATTGCTCTTTAGAGTGCATGTGAGAGATAGATAATAATTTATACTTGGAAAATATTACTTACAAGACCAGGAGACATGGCAGGAAGTTCAAAATGGTCCTGTTGAAAAATAGAGGTGCAATAGAGATGCTAAAAGACACTTTTCTGGGAGGAGCCCTGTCGGCTCCCCGGAGCTATTCCAGGCTGATATATTAATGTCAGACTTTGGCATCAGTCATGTGTATGGAGTTCTTAGGCCTACCGAGGACCACGGCCAGAATCTGGCCCCTCAGAGAGGCAAGGGAAGCAATGGCCTATAGAAACCCTCCCATGTGGTTGGAAGCATTCTTATGTCTGCCATCGACCGGAACAGGCACCCAGAAAGTTAAGCGCCCCAAAACAAACCCCTATTCTGGTTAAAATTGCTACCAAAAGCCGAACTGCTGTTTGCGCAGCTCCCTCTTCCCCGGGAGGGGGAAGGGGGAGCCCCAGACCCCTCACGCTGGCTACCCACACCTCAGTTCTTGAGGCTGATGCTATAGGCAGAGGTCGTGTGCTCTGGCTCCAGTGTCTTTACAGCACTGTGCTTCACGTGTGGTGTTTGTTTCCAAGGGTGCAAGAGCCAGGAGTTATCTTCAGTACTCGGGCTGCATGCCCCTAAGGCTACCTTCTCTAGGTGCCCTGTAAGTACTGCCCTTGGGGCTTGGGGCCACCTTCCACAGGCTCCTCGGGCCCTGCCTCTGCTGGTCCGTTCTACCATTCAGTTTTCTGCCACCCATTGGGATCTTGGGTGTTCTGTTCTCCCTTTGGGATCTTCTGTTCTGTTTTCCTGCGGGTAAGAGGCAGTTTGCACTGGTAGGCACGCAGGGTGCTGCACAGCTTCATTTTTCCCGACATAGCGGCCAGCTCTGTTCCTTGGGGTTCATTGCCCTCTTGCGGGGTTTGTTTTTCTTTTTCTTTTTCTTTTTGCCTTGGGGGGGGGGCAGGGGTTCTGCCCTGTTATTCCACTGGTGTTTGCCCTTCCATGGTACTCCTTGGTGGTGCCCCTGCTAGGTCTTCGTGAGTGTACACGTTTCCTGGGGTTCAGCTCTAGAAGTTCGCTTGGTAGTTTTGGGGGCCGGTTAGCTGCACCCTGCCTGGGACTACTTGAGCGTGAGACCTATTATAGTAAATGCTCAGGACCCTGGGAATCCCCTGGGGGCGAGTGGGTCCGGTGGATGTGACTCCGGAGTCCCCACTCGCTTTGTACGAGTTTGAGGGTTGCTCAGTCCCCTTGTCTCAGGGTGACCCTCATTGTTTTTGCCTTCGTCACGCTACCTGTTGGGTCGGTGATGCTTTCGACCCTGAGTCCTGTGAGTGTTGCTGCTTGCTTGTGACTCAATTTACCCAATCCTCTGATGATTCTATTCGGGTACAGGCGGCGCGTGCGTTGCAAGCTAGGTTTCATCTGTTGCAATGCGCTCGGTTGGTTGCTCACCCAGATGCCCCGGGGCTGCCCCGCTTTGCTTTTCAAGACCCGGACTTGGGGGTGGGGGTCACTTCGATCCTGGTTCAGTCCACACATCTCCTCGTCCTACCCCTCCAGTTGTTGGTTCTGGACCCCCCCCCCCCTCCTTCCCCTGCTTCAGGCCCCGAAACGTCTGAGGGTTTCGAAGTCGGGGCAGGGGTTCCTTGATCTCGAGTCTCGGGCAGCTTCGGGGTATGCCCCTTCCGGGGGGGACGGCGGAGACTTTCGAGTCTTGTCTCCCAGCCGAAGCTTCTGGGTCTGACCAGTGGGCCCCCTTCCTTCCGGCTTCTGTGGCTGTGCCGTCCTTGTCTTGTTCGGTCAGTGCTTGGGAAGATAACTCTGCCCCGGGTTCTGCTGTGATGGACCTAGGGGCTGGGGAGGGGCTGACTTGGGGGCCTTGGGCCCCGCTGGACCCCACCTGGGTTTTTCTTCTCTCTGAGCGGGGCTTACTGCTACAAGGAGTGGGTTTCTCTTTTCTCCCCTCTATGTACGAGTTGGATTTGGTGTCGGCCCCTCTCCGGGTTTGGTTCTGTGTTCCCCGGGTGCATTGGTTACGTCTCTCCAGAGGTTTTCGGCTTATCGCATCCAACCTGGTGTGGTGCGGGCGGGCCTTGCAGCATACCTCCTGCGTGACCAGGATTATGCCTCGGAAATGAGTCCCTCAGAATTCAGGTTTGGGACTTCGTTCCCTTTCTGGCTCCGTTACGAGGTTCCGGAGTCGTCCTGGCTAGCGGACTGCCCCTTGTTTGTTCTGGATGCCTGGCATTCCTTCTGTGGTTCCCACACGCTGGAGTGGTGGGAGGCTTCTACGGTGGTTCAGGTTTTCCTGGGGGGCGATCTTGAGTACCTGAATGAGTGCTTGTTTGCCCCTGCCCTTCTATGTGATGTTGGGGTTGTTCAGCTCCATGTGCAGGTCCCCTCCCTTTTGACGGCGCTTGTTGCGGAGGACTTGCGCGCCCGGGGCTTTTTGGCTTCGGCCTTACGGTTCTTTTCCCTCCTGGAGCTGTACATGGATTGGCTCGTGGAGGATGTAAGGGCACTTTGGTCTGTCCCGGGGTCCGGCGTCTTGTCCTCGGTGACTCGTTCGTCGGCGGCCTTGTTGAAGCTTTTCGCGCCGATTTTGCAGGATGCGGTTTCCCTGTTCTATGCTTCCCGGCGTGCGTGTCGGCAGGCAGTGCTGGGTTCCTCTGTGGAATCTGCTTAGCTGGTTGTGGAATCTTAGGTTGTCGCCTTTTTGTCCTCTTCTGTTTGAGGCATCTGCCATAGCGCAGTTCATCCAGGCTGCTTTGTCTGCTTGTCATCCGATGTCAGACTTGCTGGTTCTCCGAGGGTCCTGTGGGGGGTCATCCAAAGGGGTTGTGCCAGGGCTCGGGGTTCCTCTCATCGTGGTAGGCCACTGGTGTCAGGTTCAAGTTTGGCTCCTTCTTCAGACCCGCCCTTGTCTTGTCGGCGCAGTGATCGCTCTGCGCAGGGTTCTGGGTCTTGTAAGGGGCGCCAGCCCTTTCACAGTTTGCCCCATTGATGGGGCGATGGGGGGGGGGGAGGTGTGCGCTGTTCGCACACGCCTGGTCCCACGAAACGTGGGCGTTTCGGGTCGTGTCTGTCGGCCTGCGGTGGTGTTGGGGTGGCCCGGCCACCCCAAACCTGCCCCATTGGGGCTGATGGGGCAGGTTTCTTCCCCTGCGCTCTGTCAGGTCATCTTGGAGTGGGTTCGCTTGGGCGTGGTCGAAACAACAACGTCCCTCGGATAGGTTTCCTCATTTGTTTCAGGTCCTGAAATGAGACTGCGTGGACCTGCGGTTCATTCTGGACTTCTCCTGTCTGAATCCCTGGGTTCATTGCCTATCCTTTCGGATGACTATGCTGTCCCAGGTCCAGCTTCTGTTGGAGCCGGGTGCTTGGATGGTGTCCCTGGACCTCTGGGACGCTTATTGGCATGTCCCGATTCATCTGAGGTTCTGGGACTGACTCGGTTTTGTTGTGGGGCGTCACTGTTACTGCTTTTGTTGTCTCCTGTTCAGGTTGAACCTGGCACCTTGCATGTTCACGTGCCTTAAGCGAGTCATGGTGGCCCGTTTGCATCTCTTAGGTGTATGGGTGTTGGCCTACCTCAACGACTGGCTGGTTTGGGCTCCCAGTCGGTTGGCTTGCTTGCTAGCCAGGGATTTGGTTCTTTTCCAGCTCACCGGGTTCAAATTCTTGGTGAACTAGAGGAAGTCCCATCTGGTTCCCTCTCAGGTTCGGCCTTGGCTGGGTCTTGTTTGGGGCTCTCGGACCGCTTCCCTGTCTCTTCCTCCGGAGTCTCTCCTGCGGCTGCGGTCTTGCCTTCATCTGTTTCTGGTGGGCTTTCGGGTCACCCGGCGGTTGCTTGAGGGGCTGTGCGGGAGCCTGAACTTCGTGGTGATGGTCTACCCGTGCATGAACTTTGTGGTGATGGTCGCCTCGTATCGTGCAGCACTGGCGGAGCCGCTTCAGCTTGTCTTCGGTATCGATGTTACGTCTGTGCCGTTTCGCATGCTGTCTCGTGTGTTGTTTCACCTCCGGCCTGCTCATGTGCCGCCTGAGCCGTCCTGGTCCTTGGACAGAGTGCTCACTTACCTCTCGTCTCCTCATTTCGTCGTGGCCCCTTCGGTCTGGGATTGTTTCTCGAAGGTTCTTTTCCTGTTGGCATTGGCCTTTGGGGGTCAGGTAGGGGAGCTTCATGCTCTCCTCCGGCGCACGGGGTTTCTGCTCTTTCGGTCGTGGCGATCATTTTGTTTGCCTGCAGCCGTCTCCTTCTTTTCTGGCAAAGAATGAGACTGCTGCATTCCGGAGGGGTCCGTGGGTGTTAGATGCTTGGTTGGTACGGCCGGGGGTGCATCATACTTTGTGTCCGGTTGCGGCGCTTCGCCGTTATTTACACACCACGGCTTCTGTGTCCGGGAATGTGCTTTGGGTTGATCCGGTTTCCCCTTCTTCCCTGTTCGCGGGTTCGGGTCTCCCAGGTCGTCCGCAGGGTTATCAAATTCAGCCTGTGGTCTATCCCCATGCCCATGACATCCGTAAGTTCGCAGCTATTGCTGCCGTCTTTGGGAACATGTCTTGGTCTGATATTCGGGCGAGGGGTTTTTGGCGGTCGAACAGGGTCCTGGCTGCTCGTTACCTCGTGAATGTCCCTGGGCCCCCGTCGGGCCTGTGTTGCTTTGGGTCGGCGGTTGCAGCCAGTTGTCTCGACTTCGAGTTGAGGAGTGAGCAACAACCACCTCCCGGGTAAGTCCCTCTTTTTCCGTCTGTGGGTAGTTAGCTCCGGGGAGCCAACGGGGCTCCCCCCAGAAAACCAGCGTTGAATGTAATGAAACGCCATTTTCTGGGCGAGTCCCGGAGGCTCCCCGACATCCCTCCCTCCCTCCGGTCGGCGTTTTTATTGTGTTTTTGACATTCGGCCTCAGAATTGAGGTGTGGGTAGCCGGCATGAGGGGTCTGTGTCTCCTGGGGAAAGCTGTGCAGACAGCGGCGCGGCGATGTGTGACGTCATGATCATTTGCTCGTTTTTTTAGGGGAGTTCTATCCACTTGTTCAGCTTTTGATAGCAATAATTTCACCAGAATAGGGGTTTGTTTTGGGATGCTTACCTTTCTGGGTGCCTGACCCGGTTGATGGCAGACATAGAATGCTTCCAACCACACGGGGGTTTCTATTGGTAATTGCTCCCCTTGCCTCTCTGAGGGGGCCAGGTTCTGGCTCGTGGTCCCCGGTAGGCCCACAGAACTCCATACACATGACTGACGCCAAAGTCTGACATTAGCATATCAGCCTGGGTAGCTCCGGGGAGCCTCCAGATCTCACCCAGAAAATGGAGTTTCATTGCATTCAACACTGGTTTTTTCCAGACTCTGTAATGTAAACAATACCATAATTTATGTGATTGTCCATTACATCAGTAAAGGTACGATGGGCTGCTGACCTGTATGGTCGGGGTTGTTATGATGCCTCACCTCTGTAGTTGGGAGTAGTTAGAGCTCATCTTTTCTATAAAGAATGGAATGAGTTTCCATCATCTTGTAGACTGTGAATGGAGTGAGGTCCATTCCCTGTTGTCTGTAGTAAAGTACAATCCTATAAATAGACTTAAGGTTATCTATTTTTCTTGTACCTTTTCACAGAGGAAGCGCATGTCCCTAGCCACGAGTGCCTCGGATAAGTCGGACTCGGACAGTGAATCCCCAGTGGCCCATCACCCCCCATCTTCACCCTCACCTGCACGAACACAAGACCACCCAGAGAGATCGGGCACTCCACTCTCCAATGGGTCTGGGTCTGTGGCGGAAGAGCCAAAGATTGTCGTTAAGGTAACATTACTCCCCATATTCATGTTTATTTTGACATTCATTTTCTTCATAAATTCACTTTTCATAGTTTTCTGTTTTTCCAAAAAACTGCTCCTGAATTTTTGGAGAGACTACTTCCTGTAAACATACAACAACACTCCACTGGACACAACACAATGTTGACACAACAGAACCAGATGCTCCCCCATTCCCCCACAGCGGTATGAAAGAGGTAAACTATTAAAGGGTTGGCACAAACCACAAGCAGAACCATCCATACATGACCAGTTGTGATGTCAAGCAGAAAAGGAACTTGCAGCAGGAAGCACAATGACCCAGGAATCGGCCCCACCCGAGGACCTACCTCGTTAAACTGCAGGCGAGGTCCCTTCCCTTCATGACTGCCTCTGAGCAGGGGCAGAGCCTAGAGAAAACAACAGGTGGTCAATAGGATGGCAAGAAAAAGCCTCACCAGACAATATGTGGGCAACAGCCTTTCTCACCGAGAGAGAGGAAAGAGAAGAAGTGAAAAAGGAGAGGCAGACAAAAGGGTGACTGACGTGACACATTAGCATGGAACAATCTCGGCAAGATCACTTCAGGGAGCCAACAGGGGGGGTTGAGGGGGGGGAGCTCTCCAGAAATAATAATACATAGTAATAACACTCATGCACAAAGAAATCACAATAATGTGATGTATCAATAAGAAAATCAGTAGGAGCCATCTGGAGGATTGGAACCCACTCACTTGGTACCCCCAAGCTAATGCCCTAGACTGCTACACCATGACATGGTAAAAGCAATGCAACTTGGGATTCCACTCAATCATATAGAGGTGCCGAGACTTCATCTGGAAGCCTCGGAAATGAAAATCCAATCAGGATTTCACACAATGCCCCCCCATGCACTCTGACTTATGGTCCAGTATGGTCTATGGTCTTGGGGGTTTGACTGGGAGTACCATGTGAGCAGGTTTGAAACGTCCTCATGGCTCCTGCTGACTTTCTCTATAATAATAATAATAATAATAATAATAATAATAATAATAATAATAATAATAATTAGAGAGAGAGAAAAGTATCCCAGGATGAACAAGTTATACCAGGTTATGGTGGTACAGCGGTAGAGGTTGCTGCTGGCAGTTTGTTGGTCGTGGGTTCCAGTCACCTAAGAACTCCAGTTGATTTTCTCAATAATAACAATGTCATATAAAATTTGTATTTGCATGCACAATGTGAGGAAAATGGAACCAAACACCAATATATAAGACTTGTTGTTTCATACAGTATAAAGAAGGCAGGTGGGAGGGTCACTCGACAAGGTTACACACTTTGCACTGTTTTAATACATTTTTTAATATATAGAAATGTTTTCTCTTCATTAAAACTTTATTATTTTCTATTGTAAAATGTACATTTTTCATATAAAAGGTTATTGTTTCGTTTTAGCAAGTTGAACCAACTCCTACTGCTGATTTAGACCGCAGTAATGACAAGGTATATGAGTCGACCATTCATGTTGTCAAGGCCATAACGGCCCTCACACACGACGTGAAGGAAGGTCAAACACACAACTACCTGGACCATGTTAAGAAAGTTGGCTTGGAACTGAGAGACCTTCTTGGCACGGTCGACACTCTTATCTCAACCATCCCGGCTACTTCACATAGAGAGGTGGGTCATGCATCTACACTATGTATATACATACATACATACATGCATGCATGCATGCATGCATGCATGCATACATACATACATACATACATACATACATACATACATACATATATATATATATATATATATATATATATATATATATATATATATATATATATATATATATATATATATATATATAATATCTCAGCCTGCTAAATGGAGTCAACAGTTCCTGTACCCACCTGTGTAAAAAAAAACAGGAAGATAAAAGAGGGGAAACAGACAGACAGCCTCGGGCAACACTGGTAAACCCCCCTTGTATATACAAGAGCTAGTGTGTGTGTAAACACTGAAGGACCACCATTTTGTTATCTCAGAAAAAAGAGGTGCATATATCACATAAGTCATCACTGGGTAAGTGTTGATATAATATTTGCACCAGTGTTAACAGGCACAATATTACTCACAAGAACCTGACAACAAACACTTGCTTATCACACACTTCAACACTCACATTCCTGTAACACGAAGCTGGAGACCGTGGCCCTGTCTGCAGCTGAGATCACGGTTGACGGGACATGCTGGGGGGGTGTGGTAGAGCTTAGGGTTGACGGGACATGCTGGGGGGTGTGGTAGAGCTTAGGGTTGACGGGACATGCTGGGGGGGGTGTGGTAGAGCTTAGGGTTGACGGGACATGCTAGGGGGGTGTGGTAGAGCTTAGGGTTGACGGGACATGCTGGGGGGGTGTGGTAGAGCTTAGGGTTGACGGGACATGCTGGGGGGTGTGGTAGAGCTTAGGGTTGACGGGACATGCTGGGGGGGTGTGGTAGAGCTTAGGGTTGACGGGACATGCTAGGGGGGTGTGGTAGAGCTTAGGGTTGACGGGACATGCTGGGGGGGTGTGGTAGAGCTTAGGGTTGACGGGACATGCTGGGGGGTGTGGTAGAGCTTAGGGTTGACGGGACATGCTGGGGGGTGTGGTAGAGCTTAGGGTTGACGGGACATGCTGGGGGGGGGGTGTAATTACCTAAGTGTAATTACCTAAGTGTAGTTACAGGATGAGAGCTACGCTCGTGGTGTCCCGTCTTCCCAGCACTCTTTGTCATATAACGCTTTGAAACTACTGACGGTCTTGGCCTCACCACCTTCTCACTTAACTTGTTCCAACCGTCTACCACTCTATTTGCGAGTGGTAGAGCTTAGGGTTGACGGGACATGCTGGGGGGGGGGGGTAGAGCTTAGGGTTGACTGGACATGCTGGGGTGTGGTTATCTTGATTTGATTTCGGGGCTTTAATGTCCCCGCGGCCCGGTCCTCGACCAGGCCTCTACCCCCAGGAAGCAGCCCATGACAGCTGACTAACTCCCAGGTACCTATTTACTGCTAGGTAACAGGGGCATAGGGTGAAAGAAACTCTGCCCATTGTTTCTCGCCGGCACCCGGGATCGAACCCGGGACCACAGGATCACATGTCCAGTGTGCTGTCCGCTCAGCCGACGGCCCCCAGGTAGAGCTTAGGGTTGACTAGATATGCTGGTGTGTATGGTAGAGCTCAGATGTATACTGTATAGTGTGCTCTATGGGGTAAGAACATGGCAGGATATGTTGCGATAGGTCCAGCATGTGGTGCATTGTATCGGCGAGACCATAGCAGACTATCCTGTAATAGGCTTACATGGTGTGGTGTAGTGTATGGGATGGGGGTAGGTAAGATCTGGTTTAGATCAACTACTTGCTGCAGAAACATGAACCTGGTTAAAAAATAAGGCACCCTTATTTAAACAATGTAATTGAATATGTACCTTCATTACACAGGTGGAGCTCGCACACAAGGTTCTCTCTAAAGATATGACTGACCTGGTTCAAGCCTACAAGTTGGCACAGAAATATAGCAACACAACGCTGGACGAAGAGTATCGCAAGTAAGTCTTCTCTTAGTTGTATCTTTAATAATGTGTTCCCTCTGACTGGTCCACCACCATGCTCCCTCTGACTGGTTCCCCATCGTGTTCCCTAACTGGTCCTCCATCGTGCTCTCTCCGACTGGTCCACCACCGTGCTCCCTCTGACTGGTCCACCACCGTGCTCCCTCTGACTGGTCCACCACCGTGCTCCCTCCGACTGGTCCACCACCGTGCTCCCTCCGACTGGTCCACCACCGTGCTCCCTCCGACTGGTCCACCACCGTGCTCCCTCCGACTGGTAAACCATCGTGTTCCCTGTGACTGGTAAACCATCGTGTTCCCTAACTGATCCCCCATCGTGCTCCCTCCGACTGGTCCACCATCATGCTCCCTCCGACTGGTCCACCATCGTGCTCCCTCTGACTGGTTCTTAAGTTTGCCCACACAGTACTCACACTGCAGCATCTCGGTTACTGTGTACACGTTGTTGAGAATGTGGTGGTGGTGTTAGTCTGTGGGTCTGGCCTCCCAGGAGGTGCCATTACTTTTGTGGGATGTTGGAGGAAGTTCTGCTTCGGGAGGTTACAAGTTTTATTCCTGAGATCTCCGTCTTTGTCGTAGGACTCTAGGAGGCCCCTGATCCTTCTTGTTCTCCATCAGGGAAGGATCTCAGAGGTTGCCCTTGACCCTCTTTAGAATTTGATCTGTATAACAGAGATTTTGTAATACTCTTTGAACTTGGTTCTTCCCATTTTGCCATCTCGGTAATTTGGGCAGTCATCTTCTCTACTATGTATTGTCATTTGTGACTCACTGGACAAGGGTGATATGGCAGCAGCCTTGTCTTTGTACCGGGTGTTTGCTAATCTCATTGTTTGCTGATGCCAAAATTTTGAGAAAGATTAAGGAGAAGGAGAACAGCATGTGGCTTCAAGATGATCTGGACAAACTGAAGGACTATTCCAACAAATGGTTGTTAGAGTTTAAGCCAATAAAATGTAATTGTAATGAAGATAGGTGTAGGGAGCAGGAGGCCAGATGCAAAGTACCATTTTGTGGATGACATTCTTCAAGAATTAGAGAGTGAGAAAGACCTTGTGGTTGATATTATGCCAGACCTGTCTCCTGAAGCCCATATTAGAACATAAGAATGAAGGTAACTGCAGAAGGCCTATTAGCTCATACAAAGAAGCTCCTATATATATCCACCCAATCTCATTCATATATATGTCCAACCTACACACGAAACAATCAAGGGACCCCACTTCTATTATGTTACCCAGTAATTGGTTCCCACAAATCAACAACCCTATTGCTGAACTAGTACAATATTTACCCAGGTCTTTCCTAAATCTAAACTTATCCAATTTGTACCCATTGTTTCGGGTTCTGTCTTGTGTTGATACCTTTAATACCCCTATTAATATCTCCTTTGTTATATCCATTCCTCCACTTGTAAACCTCTTATTATATCATGGGCGCCTGACAGCTGGGTGGACAGCGCTTCGGATTCGTAGTCCTGAGGTTCCGGGTTCGATCCCCAGTGGAAGCGGAGAGAAATGGGCAAAATGTTTTTTCACCCTGATGCCCCTGTTACCTAGCAGTAAATAGGTAACTGGGAGTTAGACAGCTGCTACTGGCTGCTTCCTGGGGGGTGTGTAACAAAAAGGTCTGGTCGAGGACCAGGCCGTGGGGACGCTAAACCCCGAAATTATCTCAAGATACCTGTAATCTCAAGATAACCCCTAACTCTTCGCCTTTCCAGTGAATGCAATTTAAGCTTTGTCAATCTTTCTTCATATGACATGTTTTTAATTTGGGGATTAACTTTGTCATCCTACACTGGACGGGTTCTAAAGAATTTATATCCATTCTATAGTACGGCGACCAAAACTGAAATGCATAACCTAAATGGGGCCTAACCAGAGCAAGATATAGCTGAAGAACAACACTAGGAGTCTTATTACTAATGCTTCGAAAAATAAATCTCAGTTTTTTGCCTTATTACGAACATTTATACATTGATTTTTTGGTTTTAAATTCTTACTAATCATAACTCCCAGATCCCTTTTGCAATCCGACTTTGCAATCTCAACACCATCTACCTCGTATCTTGTAACTCTATCATCATTACCTATATAAAGAGGATAACATCAGTAGCTTATGCCAGGTTGGCCAACATAAGAACTGCATTTAGAAACTTGTTGTAAGGAATCATTCAGAATCTTGTATACTACCAGCCCGTCCTCCAAAAATGGGGAGGTAAATGTACAGAGCCCCATAAGTGCAATTATGTACTATGTATAACAGTTAATAATTGTACTTATTTACACTAAGTATTAAATCGTACTGTCAAATATAGTGTGAATATTTGAGTTTACCTAAAAAGCTGAATAGAAAACCACGGCCTAACCTAACCGTCTTAGTTTGTGAAGATAAGAATTTTATTGCATCTTAATTATAACTATTACTTAACCTTAATTATAACTACTACTTAACCTTAATTATAACTACTACTTAACCTTAATTATAACTACTACTTAACCTTAATTATAACTACTACTTAACCTTAATTATAACTACTACTTAACCTTAATTATAACTACTACTTAACCTATATTGATATTATATTAACCTTACAATATTGATATTACAGTTTTATAAAACAAATAAAACAAAACTAAAATATTTCAATAAATTGTAAAGTAACTCTGGATATTTTCAAATTTTCTATAAAATCTCTATTGTTAAATACAAGTGAAAAAGAAAATCCTAATATTTAAAACTTGTTTATAGCAACTGAGCTTTAAAATTTCATCTTAAAATTTTAAGTGTCCTAACAGAAAACGAGATTTAAATCGGGGGAGGGGATGGGTAAATGTAACAGCCCCATAAGTGCAATTATGTACTATGTATAGCAGTCAGGAAATGCACTTATTACACTTAGTATTAAAATGTACTGTCAATTCGGAGGATGGGTTGATGGGATGTCAGATCAATCCTGGAGTATGCAGCTCCAGCAGTTAATTCGTATCTTAGCCAAGCACAAGACTATATTGAAGAAGATTCAAAAGTATGCCACCAGACTAGTACCTGAGCTGAGGGGTTTGAGCTATGAGTAGATCGAGTCCAAGCTCCAAGCGCAGTTAAAAGCTCTGTACCTCAAGGTACAGTCCTTGCACCGCTACTGTTCCTTATTCTCATATCAGATATAGACAAAAATACAAGTCACAGCTTCGTGTTATCCTTTGCAGATGACACAAAAATCAGCATGAAAATTACCTCTGCTGAAGACATTGAAAACTTACAAGCAGATATCAACAAAGATTTTGATTGGGCAGCAGAAAATAACATGATGTTTAACAGTGATAAATTTCAGGTACTGTACTCAGGTACGGCAAAAATGAGGATCTGAAACATAATACAGGGAACAAAACACAATCGAATCTGCCCATTGTAGGAAAACAGCATGTCAAGGATTTGGGAATAATGATGTCCGACGATCTAACGTTTAGGGAGCATAACCAAGCAAATATTGCGTCAGCCAGAAAAATGATAGGATGGATTACGAGAACTTTCAAATACAGAGATCCCATCACAATGATTGTACTCTTCAAGTCACTTGTGTTGTCCCGTCTTGAGTACTGCTCAGTACTCACTTCCCCCTTCAGAGTAGGAGAGATTGCTGAAATAGAGGGAATACAGAGAACATATACGGCACGCATAGACGAGATAAAACACCTAAATTATTGGGATCGTCTCAAAGCTCTCCAAATGTACTCACTAGGAAGGAGACGAGAGAGATACCAAATAATATACACGTGGAAAATACTGGAGGGCCAGGTCCCAAATCTACACAGTAAAATAACAACATACTGGAGTGAACGATATGGAAGAAAATGCAAGATTGAACCAGTGAAGAGCAGAGGTGCCATAGGCACAACCATGGAGCCACAATTAGAGACCCAACAAGAGACATGTTGCCGATCTTGCCGGGGCAAGATCGGCAACCCTTGCCCCTTTCAAAGCTGGAGAAATTGCTGACCTGGAGAGCGTGCAGAGATCCTTTACTGCTAGAATCCACTCGGTAAAACATCTAAATTACTGGGACCGACTAAAGAGCCTAAATCTGTACTCCCTTGAGCGCAGACGGGAGAGATACATAATAATTTACACGTGGAAAATAATTGAGGGGCTGGTCCCAAACCTGCACACAGAAATAACATCACATGAGACCAGAAGACATGGCAGGATGTGCAGAATACCCCCGTTGAAGAGCAGAGGTGCAACAGGTACTCTGAGAGAGAACTCTATCAACATCAGAGGCCCGAGACTGTTCTACACGCTTCCACTACACATAAAGGGCATAACTGGCCGACCCCTCACAGTGTTCAAGAGAGAACTGGATAAGCACCTCCAAAGGATACCTGATCAACCAGGCTGTGACTCATACGTCAGGCTGCGAGCAGCCGCGTCTAACAGCCTGGTTGATCAGTCCAGCAACCAGGAGGCCTGGTCGACGACTGGGCCACGGGGACAGTAAGCCCCGGAAGCACCTCAAGGTAACCTCAAGGTAAGGGGCCCCCCAGGGGTGTGTTGTAAGTATACGCCCCACAAACGCCACCTTAAGAACCGTCAGTCCGTCGAGATTGGGTTCAGTGACAAACGAGCTGGACAGGGAGGGGGTGCTGCCACAAGGTGGAATTTCATTTGCAATCAAAGTAACAATTTGAGTATAAATTTTTTGATACGTCAGTTTCTAGTGTGTGTGTCTCAACATTTTTCAGCCACGTTATTGTGACTCTTCGTCTTCAGTTTGAGTATCCATTCTAATGAGAGGGTTTAGAAACTTGAAGTGTAGCCATTACGTCACTGGCAGTGCAACACAGGAGAGAATGGCAGAGATTCTCTCCTTGTGAGAACATTATAAATCATAATTATGTTGTTGCTCCTCTAGAAAGTCTCCCTTTACTCTTTACTTTCCTATTTATCCTTTCTCTTTTTCCTCTCTTTTCTGGTTCAGTGTTCTCTTCCCTTTGAACCCTCATACTCTCTTCTATAATCCCCTCCCCATTATTGTTAATTACCAACCTTTCTTCTCATACTTTTCTTATTTATGTATTTTCAGGCAGTTGCTGGCTGCAGCTCATGTTCTTGCCATGGACTCCAAGAATCTGCTCGATGTGATAGATGGAGTGAGAGTGAGACACGACATGGCTGCCTTTTTGCCCAACAAACATTCCGCTGTGTGATTCATTAGTCTGCGCCTCTTCTCTCCCTAAATCTAGCATTGGACAATGCATACTAAGGATGATGGCAGTTGGTACCTGGCCTCTTTCCAGATGTGTATTGGATAAAGTTTACCAAGGGCTAGGTCAACAGTACCTGGTCTATCCCTTGATAGAGGGATAGTCTGGACAATCTCTCAGTGTCCGGCATTTCTCCCGATGTGAATTAGATGAAGCCAAGGACAGGCTGGTTTTGCCTAGCGAGCCCCTGAGCTGTGTTGGACAAAGTGCTCTGAGGATTGGCAACTGCTGAAACTGATGCTCGTTAAAATTTGATTTTTTTTTACATTTGAAATGACTGTAATTGAAGTGACCTTCATGTTTTGTGATTCATGTGGGCAGCAAGTGTCATGTTCTGCTAATGATAAGTTCTTTGTACATAATTATAAAGCAGGTATGTACTGTACATGATACTTGATGTTTGAAGTAATTTAGTCAATCAGTCAGTGACACTTAAGTGATGATAAACCAGGAGAGCTTTGAGCACTTGTGTTGCAGATACTGTGGAAGGCATAAGCTGCTATTTTATCACATCTTGTTTATAACACTCTAACAATTGTTTTTTGTTCCTTGGTAATATTATTCCTTAGTTGCAGACGATGAGTCACAATAATGTGGCTCAAGATACCTTGACCAAACCACACGAGAAGATGAAGAGACGACAACGTTTCGGTCGTCGTCTCTTAATGGCGAATTTCTCTTAATGAGAAATGATAGGACGAAGAGGTACACTAAGGGCAGATGACACGGAAACGTTTCATCGGATCATAAAACGTTTCTGTGTCGTCTGCCTTTCTCTTACTTATTTCTATGGTCTACCTAAGACTCATAAACCTAGTGTTCCTCTTTGTTTTATCATTTCTTCAAGGGGCTCTGTCAACTTTCCTCTTGCCTCTTGCCTCGCTAAAACTCTGACACCTTACCTTGGCACTTTTTCTCCTGCCCACCTTCGTTACTCTCAGGACTTCATAGAAAGACTGGGCCTACAGCCTCCTGTAAGATGCTAAGTCTTAATGTTGACTCTGTTTACTAATGTTCCCCTTGATAACGTTATCTCTTTCCTTAGTCAGAAGGTGACTGAGGGCTTTCTTTATCTTCTGCTTCCCACTGACATTTTCCTTGAACTCATCAGACTATGTTGACTTTTAACTCATTCTCTTTCAATGGTAAATACTTCTCTCAAACTTTTGGTGTTGCTCTGGGTTCCCCTCTCTTCCCTGTTCTTGCCACTCTCTACGTGGAACACTACTTTGAAACTGTTCTTCTTCCCACTAATGGTACTCGGCCCCCTCTCTCTGGCTTTGTTATGTTGATATTTTTGCTTTATGGCTTCATGACCTTAGTCTTTTCCAGCCTTTTCTCTCCTTTTTTAACAATCTGGCTCCTTCTATCCATTTCAAAGTTGAACGGGAATCTAATTCCCTCCTTCCTTTTCTTGACGTTCACATCTCTATGTCCAGGTTATCTTTCTCTGTCTACTGCAAACCCCATGCATAGTGGCATGTACATTCACTTCTTTTCCTACCATCCTCCTTCTGTTAAGAAAAGTGTCCTCGTCTCTCTCTTCCTCCGTGCTCTACTTCAATTTCTTTCTTTATTATGCACCCCATACCCATCCCGTGGGCAGTGGTGTAAAGGATTACAGAGGCACATAATCGGTTCAGGAACTGAACCCTCTAGTTCGTTTAGCTAAGCAAATAATAATTTTTTGACGCTAGTTACAAAATTATTAATGTTATATATACATGTACACATTCTCATACATACATGTACATATATATACAGTATACGTATACATATATACATTCACATACATATTTAATCACCCACTCAAATACACACATCAATAATCTTTTGTGTCACAAGTGATCAACAAGAGGCTCACAACAGTCACTATACAAGGCACTTTACATCTATGGTGAGTCACACAGTTACTAGTCTTGCTCCACACCCACCCAACTGGGCGGCAGCTTTACAGTCATGTGCATGCATTACCTACAGTAAGCAAATTTTGGATACTTCGCTAAGATTTCGGGCAGCACATCATTATGAATGAAGTACTTACACATTTCTTGGACACTATTGATGGTGTTATCTCTAAATTCAGCAATTTTTTCACATTCCATTATATAATGACGCAAAGTATGCGAATAGTTCTGCTGACAGAGTTTACATTTAGTCAAATCTACATCAGCAGATGTTAATACACTTAATGACAGACTTAAGGAATACAAGAGAAGTGTTAAGTCTGCAGACACAAACAATGCTTCTGTCATGTTAGGGACTCTAATCATCCTATTGATTGGTCTTCCTTTAAAATAATCTTTCCTGCCTCTACTCTTCACAGACGCTGTCTTGTCAAATCAGCTCCGATACACAACCCTCACAACATGAACCTGAGTCTTGGCTTTGTTGCTGTTGATTCTTCCCTTTCACAGTAGATAGTCAAATGCTCTAACCTTTTTTAACAAACATAACCTAACATAAGCTTAACCACTGAACTGTTCTGCCTCCAAATATGGCAACCCCCTGGTGTGTACGAAATAAATTCTTTCCAAAAAATTTGTTCTCTTCTTATATTGTTAAAATGCAGTCTCTGATCACAGGAAAGTAAAAAAAAAATATTGTATGTGACATACTTTAGCCGCGACGGAACTGGGAAGGTGAGCAAATTCTGGGCGCTGAGTGATGGAGTGCTGGGGGTCAGTCGGCCCCGCCACCCTGTGGGGCGGCCGTTGCCGCAAATATAATGTTTCACAATTATTTTGATGTTTCCCATTCGTTTCTTCTCTGTTTTTTGCTGTAATATTATTCAAAGTGTGTAATTTGTGAAATTTATATAGTTCAAAGTGTGGAACATTGCTATGCTCAAAATTATGGGAATCATATATGTGACATGTATATATATTATATTCTACGATCGATCAATCAGTGTTTTTGCTGTTATTACACTATTTACACACATTGTATATAGCCATCTACATGTGTTCACCATAACGAACCACTAAGTTGGTATGGTGAGCCTAAGACACGAGTGAGCTGCCACACCCAGCCAGCCCTTCTTCACTCCTCCAACACCTTACTTGCCAACATTCCTCCTCCCACCATACTGTTATTGTTTTTATTACACTATTTACACACGTTATGTATAAGTACAGTATGTACATGTTTTATTTACTATAACTATACAACTAAGCTGGTATTGTGTCCAAACAGCTCAGTGGTCCTCATACACTGCATGACAAGTCACACAGTAGATGACGCTACGAGTACGACACCACTTCCCTCACCAAAATGGCTCCTCCCAACATACTCCTGTTGCTGTTATTACACTATATATGCACGTTATATATATGTATCTACATTTGTGTTCACCATAGCGAACCACTAAGCTGGTATAATGAGCCCAAACAAGAGTGGCTGTCACACACAGTGACGCTACCTTGATTCACTTCTTCCTCACCAAAATTCTCCTTCCACAATACTATGCACAGCGCTAATTATCACCACATTACCCTATTATTACACCCATACCATCCGTACCCCCCTTTTTTTTGTTCTAGTTTTTATCTTTCGTCTTACTGTTACCTGCTCCTCACCTCACCCCTTGCCTTACTTATGCCTGTGCTTCCCTCACTCCCATCACAATTGACTTGATAATGATCCAGGACAGCCAAAAACGTTGTTTTGTCTCTTCATCTTCTAGTGTGTGGTATGGTCAACATTATTCCTTAATTGCTTATTTCTCCAAAGTAAGCTATTATTCCCACAAACTTTGCTTTTGTAACTACTGGATGCATTGAAGTATGATGAGTATGGGTGTTAGGTCATTGTGATGGATCTCGGATTTCCAAGGTGGTTTTGCAAAGTTTCCGTGCTAACTTTTGCCTTTGGAATAGTCAGGACTCCAAGGCACATTACAACAGAGGACCAAGTTCTCTGTGGAGAGGAATAATGCCAAGTGACAGCCGCTGGTGGATCCCAAGCTGCTGCTCAGGCTTCCGCTACATTCAATGTTACGTTTTATTCATATTTTTTTTTTTTTTTACTAACATTATATGAATGAGAATATGCAAATTCGCTGTTTTTTTTTTCATTGGAAATATATAAATTTAAAAATATAATTAGCCTGGCTACAAAGTTTGAGGGGGAATTTTAGCAATTGTGTATACTTTTTAGGCATCAGCAATAAGTAAATAAGATTCCCCAGGAACAAAACTTGTTACATTGTGTAATGATTCTCTTGGCCATTGCTTTAAGGATGAGTGAGAGTTAACATGAGCAATGCCACTTAACCTCACTGTGACTGCTTACTGTTGTTGAGCGGTGACTACACCTTCACCTTGTATTCCGTTAGCGTGTTAGAGGACCGACACACACATACATACACAATGTTTTTACTCATGCACATGATATTCGGAAAATCTTTGCAAAGCAGAAAATCTTGTGGATGTTTTATGTACAATTTCAAAATCTACTAACTCAATGAAACATTTTCTTTCTTCTCTTCACTGTCTTGGCTACGTTCATAAATGATAAATGTCAACGTTCTGTGATTTTCATTTTTTTTTTGTATTCCTTTCCCCAAACAAAGACCATTTTAATTACAAAATATATATATATTAGTTATTTTACACACATGTTAGATGAAGTACAGTATAAGAAATTTACAGATATTTCTTATGAAGTGGAGTCCTTTTAACAATGTCGTGTGTCAAAGCTTGCTGCTCCATGGTCATACATAAGCCAATGTTCTCACGTGCGTCTACAAGGTCACTGACTGGCCCACAGCAGAGCGTCTACAAGGTCACTGACTGGCCCACAGCAGAGCGTCTACAAGGTCACTGACTGGCCCACAGCAGAGCGTCTACAAGGTCACTGACTGGCCCACAGCAGAGCATCCTGGTCAGTCAAGAGTGCCACAAGTGCTCAAGATTGCCAACATTTCCACTACTGCCTTTATGGACATTTTTAAATTCCCAACAAGGAAATGCACCTCATCTTTTCTTGTGACTGAGTCGCAAGCGCTTGTATGTACTGCTATTTCACTTGTCTTAATATATATATATATATCTATATATATATATATGAATATGTACTATATGATCTTTGTGGTGTAAATATTAATTTAGCTCACTGTAATTATTTAATTTGACAGCCTCAATGAATAAATATTATTGATCCAAATAGCTTTTATTTTCCAAAGGAAAATATTAATTTTTTTGGTCTAAATTTTTGACTGGCCAACTGTTACTCATTTTAGTCTGAGGCAGAGGTTGCTTATGGCTCATGTTGGGTTCAGTAAGGATATGTACAGTGTGTGTGTTTATGTATTACTTTTGTATTGTTAAATCTCGGTGGTAATATTGGTTCTGTAACTGTACTATATTGTGAATAACGTATACACTGTACTGTACAAGGAAAGAAACAAAATAATGTAGTCGTGACATTATGTATCAAAGTAGAAAGCAAAAATCTAATAGTTATGGTCATAAACAAACCTACAGATGAAATGGCAAAAAATTTGCTAGACGTAAAAAGTAAACTGCATAGAAAATCCAGTGCTGAATATTATCCTCTTAGGAGAGTTTAACCTTCCAAATTTGAGATGGAAGAAGCCATCATAACATACTACAATAGTCAGCAAGCACACGACCGAGCCAACAAGCCTAAGGAGTCACACCGAACCACCACATAGTTGAGCCAACAAGATGGGATAAGGCATTCAACTACATCTTCACAATGAACTAATTTGGGGACGTCGTAATCTGAACTGCAACTTACATGAACATTATCACTGAAGTAAAAGCAATACAAATTCATATATTGTGTACAAATTACATGTGTAATGGGAGGAACTTTAATCAATAAACTATGAGTTATCAACTATACCTTGGGAAACAAGACTGAAATCTCAAGCTCTAACACAGTGTTTAGTGACATTTAATGCAGCATACAAAATGTGCATAAAGTATGCATAAGATGTTTAACTCTGAGAAAATAATAAAATCCAGCAGATGACTATACAGAAGATTACAGAAACACTCGAGCAGATGGAAATGCCACTACGAAGACATGAAAACTTCACAGAAATCACGGATAGCGCAAAACCTAAAACCCTCTAAAACCCTCGTGCTAAAATGAAGAAATACAAAAAGAGCAAAAAGTCATCTAAATTAAAAAAAAAACTTCTTTAGAAACTATGAAAAAAATGATGATAAAACCTCTGCAAATATAAGCCCCCTTAATATAAGAAGTACATACACTGAAAAACAAAGAAATAAATTCTGAAAGAGCAATATAAATCTATGTTTAGCAAAGCAATAGATGCAATGAAAATGGAAACTGATTACATCTTAATGAGCTTAGTCCACATGGAAAGTTACATGTTGGACATTTTAAATCTCACAGCATTAAAAAAAAAAGCATTGAATGTAATTAAATGTCAATTTCTGGATGAGATCCCATATACAGTATTGGCTTCCACAAGCTACTATCTGATAGAGCACCATACAACTAGGTGCCATCAGTTGCAGAGTTCTATTGGCCTAGTCCCATTCTATTGGTCGTCCCAATGGGACTACCTCCCTCTACAATATGATAAGTACCTGTGCAAAAGGTTTGAACATAAAAATATATTACAAATAGTAAAATACTAAAGACAACAAGGGATAAAGACGGTGACTTACAAATAGGGAAACGAACAACCCTCTACACCACAAACCGAACAATGGAGGTGTGTAGAAACTGCTTTAAACCACTTTGGAAGAGTGTTGTAGGGATTGTATGTAACATTTGTAACACAAGATTTCACCCGAGTTGACAGATTTACCTACACAATATGCAAACAGAGAAGCTACCTACTGGATCTGTCACAATGACACACTGATATGGGATAACATAACCAAACTAATAAATGGCATTCCTGAAGCATATAGGCTACCATTCACAGAAAAGCTACCAGAAATATATGCAGATTGTGTAAAAACAGCAATGAACACGAAACAATCTAGGAACTGATAGTTTAGAGAGCCAAATTAGGAATGTGGAAGGACTGTGTCGAGGTACGCAAAAACAACGGTAATATTGATGAGCCAACTGGTAATGAACAGTGAGAGCAAAAATGAGAAAGATGAAAGCAATACTGAGAAAGAATGCAGAAATTAAAAAGTTAGGGCAAAAAACACGTGTCCCAAAAGAGAGGTGGCCAATGCAAGCACAGGTATAAACAACCGAAATAAAATCACAAATGAAAATATTTGCAAATATAATGCAAAGGGACTGTGCAAACTTGAGCTCAAAGGCACAAAGTGCACATTCATGCATCCCCAAAAATACCGAAACATGTTGGGGAGGGTAAATGTCGTCTTGGAACAGAGTGCAGATATTTCCACCCTAAATTATGCAAAATCTTAACTAATGAGAGAAAATGCTATCATCTTCAATGCCCTGTTTTCCACTTGAAATATAGGTACACAGCCCTATAGACAAGAGAAGGTCCAGTATAATAACCCAGGAAGTTTTTTTTTTACTGGCAGGCAGAAACCAAGTAGAACATACAAGAGATAGAAACAGACAGAAATATTGCAGGCGTATGGATGGGGAGGAAGAAATACACAAGATTGGACTACAATTTGTCATCAGGCCCACATACTACACCCCCAGTACCACACAAACTATCACACTCCACAACACCAGTACTACTACCAAAACTGGACGGACCTCAGCCACCGGCTCATTCAATCCTGGGTGCCGGCGAGAAAAATGGGCAGTTTCTTTCACCCTGATGCCCCTTGTTACCTAGCAGTAAATAGGTACCTAGGAGTTAGTCAGCTGTCATGGGCTGCTTCCTGGGGGTGGAGGCCTGGTCGAGGACCAGGCCACAGGGACACTAAGCCCCAAAATCATCTCTAGATACCCAAGATAACCTAACCTTTGGCAAAACAGCACACCCTGGGTCAGGGTGGAGAGGAGGGAGAACTCCCAAAACCCACCAGAAGTGACACACAATACAGAAAATCATATATATTTGCAAACATACAAGGCCTAAAGTCAAAATCAAGAAATAAAGTTCATAAATGGCCTCCTAGTAGAGTTCAATTCAATATTTGGAATATTCATGGAAACTCTCATGAAAGATTACATGGATAGTGAAATCTGGAACCCAAATTATAATTTATGTAGATGTGATAGAGAAATTAGGCCAAATGGAGGAGTAGGTCTCAGTCAGCAGATTACAGAACCAACTAGGAACGAAAACACGCTGGACCTGATATTCACGAACAATGAGGAGCTAATCAGAGACATTACTGTCTCAGACACTTCGTACTCGGACCACAAGCTCATTGAAGTGCAAACTAACATTAATAACAGTAGTAGGGCCAAGAGAAACAACAAGCAAGAAGGGCTATTCAATAAATTCAATTTTAAATAGACTGGGAGAAAATAAACAGGGAACTTACAAACATTCAATGAGAAAATGTTCTAAGAAATAAAAATCCTACACAGGGAATAGAAAAACTGACTTCTGAAGTATATGAAGTATGTCTGAAACATGTTCCTTTGAGGAAAGCCAGAAAGAGGTCCAATGTAGAAAGAGAAGGCAGACGACATTACAAAAGGAGGAAGAAATTAATGGAAATGCTTAAGCAGACACGACTACAGAGAAGAAGTAATTTAAACAGGGAGATTGAAGAAATCGAACAGAGACTGAAGAAAGGCAACTAGAACAGAAAACAATTCAAGAAATAAAGAAAAACCCAAAATATTTCTTCACATATGCTAAATCAAAAGCGAAAACCACTGCCAGTATTGGACCTATTCGTATTAGTGAAGGTTCATACACTGAGGATGACAAAGAAATTAGTGAAATCCTAAAAAAGCAGTATGAGGACATGTTTAGCACTCCGATACTCAGTATGAAAGTAGAAGATTCGGACAATTTCTTTATGAATGATACTCAAACACCTGTAAATATAACTGATATCAACACGAGCGTGGCAGATTTTGAAAGAGAAATTGACAATATGCCCATGCACTCAGCCCCAGGTCCAGACTCATGGAATTCAATATTTATAATGAAATGCAAAGTGCCGGTAGCACAGTGGGAAAGCAGGAACGAAGGACAATAGTGTGATGCATCAAATGAAAAAATCCACAAGAGCCGTGATAAGGGTTCGAACCTACATCCGAGAGGATCCCAGACACGCCTTAATCGACTGTGCCACGACACTGTAAAAGAATTGCAACTGGGAGTTCATTGCAGATCAATGCTCAATGGAGTTCATTGCAATTCATCGCGAATTACAATCGCGTCTGGGATCCTCTCGGACGTAGGTTCGAACCCTCTTCACGGCCCTTGTGGATTTCTTCATTTGATGCATCACGCTATTGTGATTTCTGTGTGCAATGAAGAAATTGTTCACGACTTTTGTTAAACCAAAGCTGGAACATGCAGTGGTTGTATGTTGCCCATATCTTAAGAAGCACATCAACAAACTGGAAAAAGTGCAAAGATATGCCACTAAGTGGCTTCCAGAACTGAAGGACAAGAACTACAAGGAGAGGTTAGAAGCATTAAATATGCAAAAACTAGAAGATAGAAGAAAAAGAAGCGATATGATCACTACATACAAGATAGTAACAGGAATCGATAAAATTGATAGGGAAAAATTCCTGATACCAGGAACTTCAAGAACAAGAGGTCATCGATTTAAACTAACGAAACAAAGCTGCTGGAGAAATATAAGAACATTTATGTTTGTAAACAGAGTGGTAGACGGTTGGAACAAGTTCCAACCACCTTTGAGAAGGTGGTGGAGGCCATGACTGTCAGTAATTTCAAAGCGTTATACTGTATATGTATATGTATATATAGTGTACATGTATGTATGAGTATATGTACGAGTATATATAACATTACACCAGAAACAAATACCTTTTTGATATTCAAAGAGTACGACTTAATCAAACTAGAAATGCTTTACAAATCAAGGACCCAGAAGGGATGACCTTCCCAATCATGTTAAAGACTGTACCTCTCTCAACCAGTTTAAGATAAAAACTAAGCACTACCTAATTAACTCCCTGTAACCTACCTTACCCCTATAATGTCAACCCATGTCTGCTATTTATTTAAACAATGCTGTTTGTCGACCTAATTGTATTTCTGCTGTTATTCTGCCATGTTCCCCCATTTTTTATTTTTATATTTTCTCAACACATTTTATACTTTAATCTCAATTAGTATTAATAAAAAAATAAAAATAAAATGTTTATTCAGGTAAGGTACATACATACAAGAGATTTTACATAAATTGATCGATTTATAGATGGAGCTAGTACATACAATGCCTAAAGCCACTATTACGCAAAGCGTTTCGGGCAGGAAAAACATTAATGACTAAAACTTAATACTAATTGAGTATAAAGAATAAAATGTGCTGAGAACAAATAAAAATAAAGATAATAAAGGGGGGGGAACATGGCTGATAAAGCAGCACAAATACAATTAGGTCGACAAACAGCGTTGTTTAAATAAATAGCAGACATGGGTTGACAATAGAGGGGTAATGTAGGTTACAGGGAATTTATTAGGTAGTGCTTCGTTTTTATCTTAAACTGGTTGAGAGAGGTTTAAGTTTTAGCCTTTAGTGTTTTTCCTGCCCGAAACGCTTTGCGTAATAGTGGCTTTAGGCATTGTATGTACTAGCTCTATCTATAAATTCATCAATATTTGTATCACCCCTTGTATGTATGTACTTTACCTGAAAAAACATTTGAATTTTGAATTTGAATTAATAGTTGTGTAACTAGCGTCAAAAGATTGTTATTTGCTTAGCTAAACAAACTCTGGGGTTCAGTTCCTGAATCAATTATGTGCCTCTGTAACCCTTTACACCACTGCCCACGGGATGGGTATGGGGTGCATAATAAAGAAAAAAATTGAAATTGAATTGTAGAGTATTAACAAATCATAATATATTTTTTTTTTTTTTTTTTTTTTTTTTTTGAGATATATACAAGAGTTGTTACATTCTTGTACAGCCACTAGTACACGTAGCGTTTCGGGCAAGTCCCTGGAATACGATCCCCTGCCGCGAAGAATCGTTTTTTCATCCAAGTACACATTTTACTGTTGCGTTAAACAGAGGCTACAGTTAAGGAATTGCGCCCAGTAAATCCTCCCCGGCCAGGATACGAACCCATGACATAGCGCTCGCGGAACGCCAGGCGAGTGTCTTACCACTACACCACGGAGACTGTGGTGATATCATTAATTAACTTAAAGCTCTAAGTAAACCCCATGATGATGTTAATCCATTATGGCAAGCATTCAACAGCAAAGTTTCTTTATTATACTAATAGAAACATGACTAAAAGATGAGTGAACTTAACCACTTATGATAACCAACAGCACACTTAAGATAACCAACAGCACACTTAAGATAACCAACAGCACACTTAAAATAACCAACAGCAGACTTAAGATAACCAACAGCCCACTTAAGATAACCAACAGCACACTTAAGATAACCAACAGCACACTTAAGATAACCAACAGCACACTTAAGATAACCAACAGCACACTTAAGATAACCAACAGCACACTTAAAATAACCAACAGCAGACTTAAGATAACCAACAGCACACTTAAGATAACCAACAGCACACTTAAGATAACCAACAGCACACTTAAGATAACCAACAGCACACTTAAGATAACAAACAGCACACTTAAGATAACCAACAGCACACTTAAGATAACCAACAGCAGACTTAAGATAACCAACAGCACACTTAAGATAACCAACAGCACACTTAAGATAACCACCAGCACACTTAAGATAACCAACAACAGACTTAAGATAACCAACAGCAGACTTAAGATAACCAACAGCACACTTAAGATAACCAACAGCACACTTAAGATAACCAACAGCAGACTTAAGATAACCAACAACCCACTTAAGATAACCAACAGCAGACTTAAGATAACCAACAGCAGACTTAAGATAACCAACAGCACACTTAAGATAACCAACAGCACACTTAAGATAACCAACAGCAGACTTAAGATAACCAACAGCAGACTTAAGATAACCAACAGCACACTTAAGATAACCAACAGCACACTTAAGATAACCAACAGCAGACTTAAGATAACCAACAGCACACTTAAGATAACCAACAGCACACTTAAGATAACCAACAACACACTTAAGATAACCAACAGCAGACTTAAGATAACCAACAGCAGACTTAAGATAACCAACAGCACACTTAAGATAACCAACAGCACACTTAAGATAACCAACAGCAGACTTAAGATAACCAACAGCACACTTAAAATAACCAACAGCAGACTTAAGATAACCAACAGCACACTTAAGATAACCAACAGCAGACTTAAGATAACCAACAGCACACTTAAGATAACCAACAGCACACTTAAGATAACCAACAGCAGACTGAAGATAACCAACAGCACACTTAAGATAACCAACAGCAGACTTAAGATAACCAAGAAGGTAACTGTAAACTTAACAATGGTGTACACAACACACATATACAAGAAGGTAACTGTAAACTTAGAGAGTTAAAGTAATAAAGTTAACATTAATTAACTAATACTAAGACGGTGACTTTCATCTTGAGCTTTGCCCGCCTGATGGACACTAGTTGTTACTTGAAGGTTTTGTGGTGTCCACACACACACAGGTCTCCTTACCCGAGGGCCACTAGTTCTCTAGTGGCCTCGACAAGGACAGGAAGCCGGCGGGTTGTCAAAGATTCTCCCATCATGTTGTGTGGGATAGATGAGTCTTGGGCGGGTAGGAGGTTCCATCAGCACCTGTCCTCAGGCCCGGCTGTGTTGAGTCCAGCAACATGTGTAGCCCCGTACATGATACATGCTCATAATCAATGTCATCTTTGGTACATATTCAACATCTGTCAAGATTTCCCGACATCTTTGGTCCAGAAAAAAAATTAAATCATAAAAATTAAATCCTGCCGTAAGCGCTGTGCGTGTTTGTGGCTTTACAAGATGCAACAACATTGGTGTTATGTACACACAAACCCAATAAACCTTCTTGTAAATAAATACGTAAATAAATATATTAATTAAGTGAATAAATAAATAAATAAGAGTTATTATACTCGTGATCCCTCTTATTGATCGTCACTTATTTTTATCTCATTGTTTGTTTACATCAGATGGAGGCGTCGCGACCCGCGAACTCTCGCACTTTTACTCTCGTAAGTCGCGTTGGCGAGGCCCAGTCTCTCCTTTATTAGCTCATTCCTGTTGAGAAGACTTGCTTGTTGGTGGTCGAGGCTGCGAGAACAGCCAAGTTGGGTCGTTAATGAGGGAGAGATGAAGGACCTGAGGTGGTGAGAGGCACCTTAACCTGCCTAACTTCCACACGACACACAGTGATGACCACAGACAAACACTCAACAGACACCTAGGGTGACCACACACACTCAACAGACACATGTAGTGACACAAGATGCAGACAGACACATGTAGTGACACAAGAGACAGACAGACACATGTAGCGTGTATGCCTGCCCGTCCCCCCCCCCCTCCCACACACGCACGGGAAAAATAGACAACACACACACCTTAAACATTATGTGGAAATGAATGACCGAACTCTAATAGAGAAGACAACTGTAATAAAGAAGACAGAATTCTAATTAAAGAAGCCAGAACTCTAATAAAGAAGCCAGAACTAATAAAGAAGCCAGAACTCTAATAAAGAAGCCAGAACTCTAAATAAAGAAGCCAGAACTCTAAATAAAGAAGCCAGAACTCTAAATAAAGAAGCCAGAACTCTTAATAAAGAAGCCAGAACTCTAATAAAGAAGCCAGAACTCTAAATAAAGAAGCCAGAACTCTAAATAAAGAAGCCAGAACTCTAAATAAAGAAGACAGAACTCTAAATAAAGAAGCCAGAACTCTAAATAAAGAAGACAGAACTAATAAAGAAGACAGACCTGGGGTGGTTTTGGGATAGTAAACTGACACTAGAGGAACACATAAAGAACATTCTAGGAGCGTATGTGTCACTTTCCACCTTCAGACACGCTTATAATTCCATGGATGGTGAAATACTAAAAAACTGTTCATGACTTTTGTGAGACCAAAATTGTAATATGCAGCAGTTGTATTGTGCCCATGTCTCAAGAAGCATATAAATAAAATGGAAAAGATATAAAGGCACGCTAGAAAATGGCTTCTGGAACTGAAAAACAAGTGTTACGGGGAGAGGCTAGAGGTGCTAAACATGCCAAAACTAGAAGATAGAAGAAAAAGAGGTGATATGATCACCACTTACAAAATACTAACAGGAATCAACCAAATTGACAAAGAGGAATTCCTGAAACCAGCAACTTGAAGAACAAGAGGACACAGATTCAGGCTAAGCAAACAAAGGTGCTAAAAAATATTAGAAGGTTTTCTTTTGCGAAACGGAGTGGTGTACGATTGGAACAAGTTAAGTGAGGTGGTGGTGGTGGAGGCCAAGACCATCAGTAGCTTCAAAGTGTTATACGACAAAGAGTACTGAGAAGACGGGACACCACGAGCGTAGCTTCATCCTGTAACTACACTTAGGTAATTACACACAACACAAGACACACAAAATCAAACTTAACAGTGACTGAACATACAGACACCTGCCTGTATCTGATAACTTAATAGTGACTGAACATACACACACCTGCCTGTATCTGATAACTTAATAGTGACTGAACATACACACACCTGCCTGTATCTGATAACTTAACAGTGACTGAACATACACACACCTGCCTGTATCTGATAACTTAACAGTGACTGAACATACACACACACACCTGCCTGTATCTGATAACTTAACAGTGACTGAACATACATACACACACCTGCCTGTATCTGATAACTTAACAGTGACTGAACATACACACACCTGCCTGTATCTGATAACTTAACAGTGACTGAACATACACACACCTGCCTGTATCTGATAACTTAACAGTGACTGAACATACACACACCTGCCTGTATCTGATAACTTAACAGTGACTGAACATACACACACACACCTGCCTGTATCTGATAACTTAACAGTGACTGAACATACACACACCTGCCTGTATCTGATAACTTAACAGTGACTGAACATACACACACCTGCCTGTATCTGATAACTTAACAGTGACTGAACATACACACACACACCTGCCTGTATCAGATAACTCATCTTCAGGCTCTATGGCAGAAAAGAAATTGTCTTCGGTATCAAGTTTTGCAAATCATTTATTGCGTTACCTAATGTAATGGTCAAGCTCATCTGAGCTAACATGGCCGCCAAGGTTAACATAATCCAATCTAACATAGCTTTAACATAATTTGTTAGCATAATGTGAGCTAACATAAGCAACCTATTCTGAGCTTACATAGCTAAGGTTAACCCTTAAATGGTGCATGGCTATATACCATTTGACACCCACAGCCGCATACATAAAAAAAAAAAAATTCTTTTTTCTTCCTAACCTGTAGGGAGGGAGCCGGTCGAGCGGACAGCACACTGCACTTGTGATCCTGTGGTCCCGGTTCGATCCCGGGCACCGGTGAGAAACAATGGGCAGAGTTTCTTTCACCTTATGCTCCTGTTACCTAGCAGTAAAATAGGTACCTGGGTATTAGTCAGCTGTCACGGGCTGCTTCCTGGGGGTGGAGGCCTGGTCGTGGACCGGGCCGCGGGAACACTAAAGCCCCGAAATCATCTCAAGATAACCTCAAGATAACCTGTTAAGTCGTGTTCCCTGATCATGGGGAAAAAAATCAATTGTACTTACCGGCGACGTAATTGAGCCAACAAGATGAGTGATGACGTCACAGTTTGCATGTTCGCTCATGCACGGTGCGTCCCGGAGGCGTCGCGCGCGGTCTTCAAGCAGCCAGAGTTGCCACAAATTTATTTTCGCGTCATTATTTACAGTGTCTAGATGTGTATTCTTTGCAATATTAGTCACTAATTATGTTGCACATAATGTCACTTGACAGTTATTGTCAATATATGTTGCACACATCGAGTATACACATGCGCACACAAACATTTTCCATTACGGCATTATATTATGTACAGTAATCACAATGTTTATTATTTTATATGTGCACATTAGCACGCACTATGTACAGGTTTTTGCACTATTATTGCACATTTAGAAATCTTGGAGTGAGTGGTAGTCGTTGAAGCAGTCGACAACACACAATGCAACTCCACACCCTTCACACCATGTTTGCACCAGTTTATGTTTCTGTTCTCTTCGTTTTGTTGTTTTACATACTACACATGCACGTTGGCCTATTGCACGCTTTCCACCTGCTGGCAAATTCTTTAGATTGTGTTGCTGAAAGGCATCTATGTGAGCGAGCCTGGGTGTTGCAGCATGCTGCAACACTGGGTTCATGATTGGTCTTCGTATGCCAGGGACTTCTTGACCAAACTTTGCTAATAACTGTGTTGCAAGTGTAAAAGCAAATGAACGGAAAACAGGTTTACGTCCAGTTTTCACCAGTTACAAATTATAGCAGTCCAACATGCTCATGTCAACAAGATGGAAAAACACTTTTTTCGTCCACTTCAATGTTTTCCGCACACACTCGATATTGCCAATCATCATGTCAGCCTTATCAATCAAACGCATGTTGATATTGTAGTCAAGAACACAATCTGGCTTATATACTGGTTCTCTCGTTACACGGTGCACCTTGCCACTGTTCAACATTGTACCCTCATGAACGGTTGTCAGCAGGTTCACTTCTCTCTTGTCTTTCCACCGTACCGAGAGTATTTGATCACATTTCCGTACCTGGCTGGCACTCACCAACTGCAAGCCCACCGTCAAACACTGGCATTTCCCTTCTTCGTGCCTTTACTGTGCCAACCAATCCGGTTCTATTTTCAATGAAGAGCCTAGCTACCAATGGACTTATATAGTAATTATCTGTGTATAGGATGTGCCCCTTGTTCATCCATGGTGCCATCAGTGGCTTCACCACACTACCCGAGAAACCATGTTCGTCGCTACCAGGAATGTCTACATCGCTAGCTGAATACAGAATCATGTGTAACACGTATCCTGTTTCACAGTCACGCAGTACAAAGAATTTCAATCCAAATCTGTTTCGTTTGGAGGGAATATACTGATTGAATGAAACACGTCCTCTGAAAAGTACAAGGGATTCGTCAATCACCAGCTTCTGTGCTGGTACGTAAAAATCTCTGAATTTTCCAATCACATCATTCATATAGTGCCTCACTCGCCAAAGTCTATCATCCTCTGTCCGGTCCTCATTACTTGCAAAATGCAGACACCTGAGGAGTATCTGAAATCTGTCTCGGAACGTATATTTCCCGAAGAAAGGTGTTGGAATAGTCAGATCTTTGCTCCAGTAATCTGGGATAGCGTGTTTGACACAGTGTTTCATCAACATACATATCGCTAGAAACACATACATTTCACCTACATTGGTGGTTTTCCAATGTTGCAATCATGAAAATTCTGTTATCTCTCTTCTAATGAGATGAGCTGTATGAAGGTTTGTTTGGTGTACAATATATTCCATGAGCGGCTCATCATAGACTGCTGTAAAATAATCACATTCACTCATATCATCATCATAGACTGCTGTAAAATAATCACATTCACTCATATCATCACCATTATCAGGGAAAAGCTCTGTAATCCCAACGTCTTTATTGTCAAAGGCAGGAATTCGAGGAATAAAACCAGCACCATCACTCCACACTAGTCCGCCTGGTGTCCTGCGAGACGCAGGGGGCGCAACAGGGGCATGACGGCAAGGAAGCGATGCACCCCGTGGACCGGGAGCTGAAGCCCGTCTACGCACAGTATGGCCACTACGTGCACGTGAGGTAGAAGCACGTGAACATGAGGCTCTTGGTGCCACATGTTGTTCCATGCGGTGGCACTTGGCTGGGCGAGACGCTGCTGACGCGACAAAATCTCACCCAGTAACACCACTGGTACTGGCACCAGGCTCGGTAACACTGTGTTCTGATTCCACTTCACTAAAACCAGAAAAAGAGTCACCTTCCTCTGACTCGTCACTGAAAATATCCTCAGACTCTAAATAATCACAGGAACTGTGTGGTCGAGGGTGAATTGGGGTAGACACTAGGCGAGGTGGCATGGGTGAGCGTATAGGCCTCGCCATGGGAGGCGGCTGTATCTCATATTCACTGTCTGTGCTATCAACATCGGTCATTGTGTGTAGTCTTTATCAATATCAGAGTCATCAAAGTCACTTTCCTCACCATTGGAAAATAATTTACTGGTTATTTGCTCCTGGGTGAGTGATTGCGTGGGGCGTGCCCAGGAAGTGTTCGGCCGTTCGCTCGACATGGTGGCTGCTGGGTAACTCAGGCCTCCCTCGCGACAGTAGCGTGAGCTGGATTTGTTTTCAAAATGGTGGCTGTTTACTATAGCCCCTGGGCAGCGTATGGGGACCCCCTATACCCCGCGGGCCTTTCAAATCGTGCGCGGTACTCCAAAGCATCATATGATGCGATGCGCAATTTACTGCAAGTCGGTCAATGCATCACACGATGCGATGCGCAGTTTAAGGGTTAATCTAATCTGAGCTAACATGGCCAAGGTTAACATAATGTGAACTGAGAGAGACAAGGTTAACCTTACCTAACAAAGTCAAGGTTAACATAACATAACTAAGATTATTTCAACAATACGCCATCAACAAAGTTAGTATTGAGGTTAGCTGGGAGGAGAGGTTAGCTGGGAGGAGAGGTTAGCTGGGAGGAGAGGTTAGCTGGGAGGAGAGGTAAGCTGGGAGGAGAGGTTAGCTGGGAGGAGAGGTTAGCTGGGAGGAGAGGTTAGCTGGGAGGAGAGGTAAGCTGGGAGGAGATGTTAGCTGGGAGGAGAGGTTAGCTGGGAGGAGAGGTTAGCTGGGAGGAGAGGTTAGCTGGGAGGAGAGGTAAGCTGGGAGGAGAGGTTAGCTGGGAGGAGAGGTTAGCTGGGAGGAGAGGTAAGCTGGGAGGAGATGTTAGCTGGGAGGAGAGGTAAGCTGGGAGGAGAGGTTAGCTGGGAGGAGAGGTTAGCTGGGAGGAGAGGTTAGCTGGGAGGAGAGGTTAGCTGGGAGGAGAGGTTAGCTGGGAGGAGAGGTTAGCTGGGAGGAGAGGTTAGCTGGGAGGAGAGGTTAGCTGGGAGGAGAGGTAAGCTGGGAGGAGAGGTTAGCTGGGAGGAGAGGTTAGCTGGGAGGAGAGGTTAGCTGGGAGGAGAGGTTAGCTGGGAGGAGAGCTGCAAGTGCTACACTCATTTTCTGGACCACGATTTTGCTCTTATTTTATTTATAAATTTAAATTTTTGTAGTAGCTTACAGCAAGTTTTGGGCGGAAGCTTCTTCCATTTACAGTATAATGTATATTTCTTATACAGTATTAGTAATGGTGACCACCACAACCAGGGTTGTTTTAGTGATGGTGACCACCACAACCAGGGTTGTTTTAGTGATGGTGACCACCACAACCAGGGTTGTTTTAGTGATGGTGACCACCACAACCAGGGTTGTTTTAGACCTTCAATAAAATGTAAGACTGCCATGTACACACAGGCTCACACCTGCTTCCTCAGGTCTCTATTAACCATCCCCCATCTTGAATCAAAATCGTGAGTCCCTCACTTTTCTTCTCGGGTCTTAGTAGGAAGATGAGTAGAGGAAATACAGAGAACATATATGGCACACATAGACGCAATAAAGCACCTAAATTATTGGGGTCGTCTCAAAGCTCTCCAAATGTACTTACTAGAAAGAAGACGAGAAAGATATCAAATAATATACACATGGAAGATACTGGAAGGCCAGGTCCCAAATCTACACAGTAAAATAACAACATACTGGAGTGAACAATATGGAAGAAAATGCAGAATAGAACCAGTGAAGAGCAGAGGTGCCATAGGCACAATCAGAGAACACTATAAACATCAGAGGTCCACAGTTGTTCAACACCCTCCCAGCGAGCATAAGAAATATTGCTTGAACAACCGTGGACATCTTCAAGAGAAAACTAGATTATTTTCTCCAAGGAGTGCCGGACCAACGGGGCTGTGGTGGGTATGTGGGCCTGCAGGCTACTGCAAGCAACAGCCTAGTGGACCAAACTCTCACAAGTCAAATCTGGCCTTGGGCTGGACTTGGGTAGTAGAAGAACTCCCAGAACCCCATTAACCAGGTATCAACCAGTACATTAGTAGTATCCAGACAGGTACGAGAGGAGTGTTTGTCAACTCTTTTGTCGACTGAGCTCTGGTTGGAAGCAGATCGATGAAGAACTCTGTAAGGTAAGGCAACAATGGCTTCTCTAACAGTTATGTTGAAGACGTCATTAAAAGGTGAAACACCATGCAACCTCTGAAGAATCAACTAACACAACACTTGTACCTCCTATTAGACTGTTTTATAAGAACTTCTTTTCGATGGCTCATAAAACGGAGGAAAGTGTCCTGAAAGATATTATTAATAGGAACGTTGAGATCTTGAGGTTATATTGAGATGATTTCGGGGCTTAGTGTCCCCGCGGCCCAGTCCTCGACCAGGCCTCCACCCCCAGGAAGCAGCCCGGGACAGCTGACTAACTTCTAGGTACCTATTTACTGCTAGGTAACAGGGGGCATCAGGGTGAAATGAAAGAAACTCTGCCCATTGTTTCTTGCCAGCACCCGTGATCGAACCCGGGACCACAGGATCATGCGTCCAGTGTTCTGTCCGCTCAGCCACCGGCTCCCTACAGACACAAATCACAAGATACAATTAACAATTTACTACAAAAGCAAGAAAACGGCTAACCTACTCATGAAGAGCTCTCTAGACATCAAACAGAATGCCTTGAAAGAAACTAATGCTGTCTATGCCTTCACAAGCCCACTTGGGGACTGTTAGCCCCAAAGATCTCAGTATATAGGCATGACAACAACGTCTCTTTCTAGGCGATTAACAATGCACAAACAACAGGGCTCCATCAAGGACCATATAATCTCACACAACCAGACCATCACCAGAGAAATCTTAACAAGAAACACAGAAATTATCAATAGATACAACGGCAACAGGAGACTCGACATCAGCGAGGCCCTACACATCAAAAAGTCAAAACTAGCAATCAACAGCCAATTAACACGTACTGTAATTACATTCTACGCACTTCAAGACCCCGAACCAACAAAGAAGTAAGAAGATAAAACATGCAATGTACTCATTAATTCATGTCCTGTATCACCTGTCCTGTATCACCTCTCCCCAAAAATGAATATAAGCATTAACCCATAAACTGCGCATATTACCGCGCATCTTGGGGGGCCCGGAAACTAAAAATATTTGAATTATGTAAAAATAACTTTAAAATGTTAAACAAATCTCCAACTTATTGGCTTCAGTGTCGTGAAACTTTCATCAAAATATTTTCAGAAATTGATCCCTTTTTTCCGGGACGGACCTTCTCCATCATGTCCCCCTCTTGGGGTTTCTGCATGACTTTTGGTCTCGGGTGTGACGGGGTTTTGGTGCCTTCGTCCTTTGTGTTTGCTTCTTTTTGTTCTCGAAGGTTCGGGACGGTTTTGCTCCTTCCTGTTTTCTGGTGCGTCTGTCGTCATTCGGTTGAGCTTCCCTCCGGTCATTTCTAGGGCTTGTGGGTCCTCTTCCCGGCAGCTTCTGGGTGTTGGCCTTTTTGTTCTTTTGTGAATATCTCTTCTCTTCACACTGTCTCGGCGCTCCTAGTTTTCCTGGGAGCGATTTTGCTCCTCTTAATGAGTCTTTTCACTCCTGCCCTTCTGCGGGATGTTGGTGCGGGGCGTCTCCTTATGCAAGTTCCTTCCCTGTCAGCTGCACTTGTGGAGGTGGACTTGCACACTTGTGGCATTTTCGTTTTGGTCCTGCGTTTTCTTTTCCCTCCTGGGGCTGTCATAGGATTGGCTTGCGGAGGATGTAGAGGCGCTTGGGGCCGTTCCTGGGTCTGGCACCTTGGTTTCTGCTGCTAGCTTTCAGTATCGATATTCCTTCTGCGCCGTTTCGCAGGTTGTATCGTGCGTTGTTACACCTCCGGCCTGCTTATGCACTGCCTGTGTCGTCCTGGTCTTTGGACAGGGTGCTCTCCTGTTTTTCTTCTTGGTGGTTGTGGCTCCTTGGGGTCAGGTTTGCTTTGCCTCGGTTTTCTTTTTGTGTTGGCATTCGCCTCTGGGGGTCGTGTGGCAGAGCTTCTTGCTCTTCTCAGGCGCAGTGGTTTTTGGCTCCTATGGTCGTGGTCATAGGTTTCTTCGTCTGCAGCTGTTCTCCCTTTTTTCTGGCGAATGATATACCTTGGGTTCTTGTCTCGACTTCGTGTTGAGGAGTGATTCACCGGCCGCCTCCCGGGTATGTCCCCTTGTTTTCTTAGGTAGTCTTTGGTGAGGTAGCTCCGGGGAGCCGTAGGGGCTCCCCCCAGAAAACCAGCGTTGAATGTAATGAAACGCCATTTTCTGGGTGAGTCCCGCACCCTCCCGCCCTCCGGTCGGCGGGGTTTTTTCGCGGTTTTGATATCCAGCCTCAGAACTGGGGCGGGGATCGCCGGCGCGGGGGTCTGGGGCTCCCCCTTCCCCCTCCTGGGGAGGAGGGAGCTGCGCAGACATGCGGCGCGGCTCGTGTGACGTCATGCTTGTTAGTTTGTTTTCCTGGGGGAGTTCTGTCCACTCGTTTGTCGATTTTTGTTGTTAACCAGAATAGGGGTTTGTTTTGTGGCGCTTACCTTTCTGGGTGCCTGTCCCGGTCGATGGCAGATATAGAATGCTCCAAATCACATGTGCATTTCTATGGGCCATTGCTCCCCATGCCTCTGTGAGAGGGCCAGGTTCTGGCTCGTGGTCCCCGGTAGGCCTAGAACTCCACCCACATCGACTGATGCAAAATAGTTAGGGTATCCATATCAGCCATGGATAGCTCCGGGGAGCCTCCGGGACTCACCCAGAAAATGGCGTTTTATTACATTCAACGCTGGTTTTTTATGCCTCCTGGATGCAAATTAACAATGTCAAATAAAATAAGTAATTTTTTTCAGAACAATTATTTTGTGCAGACCACAGGTGCGGAGTGCAGGAAGTAAAGAAGGTTTATACAATTGTGTTGTGAAATCTGGCTTTAACACAGCTTTGTGTTTCCCAAGGACACACACCATGGAGCAACAGAGCAGAACACCAGGCAGAAACGGGCGAGACGTTACTCACTTTCTCAGTGTATACATGTCAGACGAAATTACGCCCAAGATTGAGCCGGCTGACAACATGAGGTCAGATGACCCGCTGGAGATTGCTGAAGAGGACACGGAACAAACAGGTACGCAACAGTCTCACTCATCACAATATATCAAGTCTCAAAGATTTTTTTTGTTCTGTGCCAGAGATAGGCTTTGAGGCAAAGGGAAATGAATTATAATTATACTGTACAGTATATTTATACTGTATGTACACACACACACACACACACACACACACTTAGGGTCCCAGATATTGTCGCATTATCAGAGACGAAACTTGAAGGAAATATAATAAATGAAGTCATATTCCCAAGATGCTATTCAGTTTGGAGACGTGACAGGAAAACTAGGAAGGGAGGAGGAGTGGCTGTACTGGTGAAAAAACACCTGAAGGTAAGAGAGTTAATATTTGAAAACCCTCGAGATATTGACATAATGGCATTGCAGGTCTGGAATCAGGATGATAAGCTGATAATTTTAAATGCCTACAGCCCACCAGCAAGCAACACATGGACAAAGGAAGAACTGGATGACAAACGAGAGGGCCTCATAATGGTCATGAGAGATATTATTGCACAAGCAGATAAAGATAAATCACGACTGTTGATACTGGGGGACTTCAACTTTAAAGCAATAGACTGGGAGGCCTATGAAGCAAGAACGGAGGACTTTTGGACATGCAGATTTGTGAACCTCATTCTGGAGACATTCTTGTATCAACACATAAAGCAGGCCACAAGAATGAGGGAAGGAGATGTACCGTCAGTACTGGATCTAGTATTCACCAGGAAAGAAGAAGAGATATTTGACATCCAGTACCTTCCTCCCTTGGGAAAGAGTGATCACGTCCTGTTAGACATTGATTATGCTTTAAGATATCATCTAGAAGAAAATGGGGACATTGAAACAGTTGATAAACTCGATTTAAGGAGAGGACACTATGGGGAACTTCAAAATTTTTTTAATGAGTGTAATTGGACAGAATTGTTGCTAGGCAGGGAAGTAAATGAAATGTATGCCAAATTTTTAAAAATATACGAGGAAGGCACACAAACATTCATACCAAAACAGAGGTGCAGGGCCAGAAAACAGGATTGGTTCGACAGAAATTGTGAGAGGGCAAGAGACCAAAAGACACAAAAATGGAATCAGTATAGGAAGAGGCCAAACCCTCAAACATACCAGCGATACAAAGATGCGAGAAACAACTATACGGCAGTAAGGAGAGAGGCAGAAAGAAATTTTGAAAAGGGGATAGCGGATAAATGTAAAACAGAACCGGGCCTATTCTACAAATTCATAAACAACAAATTGCAGGTAAAGGATAATATCCATAGGTTGAAAATGGGAAACAGATTCACGGAAAATGAAAAGGAAATGTGTGAAACATTAAATGAAAAGTTCCAAAGTGTGTTTGTACAAAATGAAATCTTCAGAGAACCAGACACAATGGGAATTCCAGAGCACAACATAGAGCGGATAGAGGTGTCTAGAGATGAAGTGGAAAATATGCTCAATGAGCTCAGTAAGAACAAAGCAGCTGGCCCAGATGGAGTTTCACCATGGGTTCTGAGAGAATGTGCATCTGAGCTCAGCATCCCAATTCACCTGATCTTTCAGGCATCCCTGTGTACAGGAATCATAGCAGACGTGTGGAAACAGGCTAACATAGTTCCAATCTACAAAAATGGCAGCAAAGAAGACCCCCTCAATTATAGACCTGTATCATTGACAAGTGTAATAGTGAAAGTATTGGAAAAACTAATCAAAACTAAATGGGTAGAACACCTGGAGAGAAATGATATAATATCAGACAGACAGTATGGTTTTCGATCTGGAAGATCCTGTGTATCGAATTTACTCAGTTTCTATGATCGAGCCACAGAGATATTACAGGAAAGAGATGGTTGGGTTGACTGCATCTATCTGGACCTAAACAAGGCTTTCGACAGAGTTCCACATAAGAGGTTGTTCTGGAAACTGGAAAATATTGGAGGGGTGACAGGTAAGCTTCTAACATGGATGATAAATTTTCTGACTGATAGAAAAATGAGGGCAGTAATCAGAGGCAATGTATCGGAATGGAGAAATGTCACAAGTGGAGTACCACAGGGTTCAGTTCTTGCACCAGTGATGTTTATTGTCTACATAAATGATCTACCAGTTGGTATACAGAATTATATGAACATGTTTGCTGATGATGCTAAGATAATAGGAAGGATAAGAAATTTAGATGACTGTCATGCCCTTCAAGAAGACCTGGACAAAATAAGTATATGGAGCACCACTTGGCAAATGGAATTTAATGTAAATAAATGTCATGTTATGGAATGTGGAATAGTAAAACATAGACCCCACACAACCTATATATTATGTGAGAAATCTTTAAAGAATTCTGATAAAGAAAGAGATCTAGGAGTGGTTCTAGATAGAAAACTATCACCTGAGGACCACATAAAGAATATTGTGCAAGGAGCCTATGCAATGCTTTCTAACTTCAGAATTGCATTTAAATACATGGATGGCGATATACTAAAGAAATTGTTCATGACTTTTGTTAGGCCAAAGCTAGAATATGCAGCTGTTGTGTGGTGCCCATATCTTAAGAAGCACATCAACAAACTGGAAAAGGTGCAAAGACATGCTACTAAGTGGCTCCCAGAACTGAAGGGCAAGAGCTATGAGGAGAGGTTAGAAGCATTAAATATGCCAAAACTAGAAGACAGAAGAAAAAAGAGGTGATATGATCACTACGTACAAAATAGTAACAGGAATTGATAAAATCGACAGGGAAGACTTCCTGAGACCTGGAACTTCAAGAACAAGAGTCATAGATTTAAACTAGCTAAACACAGAAGCCGAAGAAATATAAGAAAATTCACCTTCGCAAATAGAGTGGTAGACGGTTGGAACGGGTTAAGTGAGAAGGTGGTGGAGGCCAAGACCGTCAGTAGTTTCAAAGCGTTATATGACAAAGAGTGCTGGGAAGACGGGACACCACGAGCGTAGCTCTCATCCTGTAACTACACTTTGGTAATTACACTTAGGTAATTACACACACACACACACACACACACACACACACACACACACACACACACACACACACACACACACACACACACACACACACACACACACTGCATCTATCTGGACCTAAAAAAGGCTTTCGACAGAGTTCCACATAAGAGGTTGTTCTGGAAACTGGAAAATATTGGAGGGGTGACAGGTAAGCTTCTATCATGGATGAAAAATTTTCTGACTGATAGAAAAATGAGGGCAGTAATCAGAGGCAATGTATCAGAATGGAGAAATGTCACAAGTGGAGTACCACAGGGTTCTGTTCTTGCACCAGTGATGTTTATTGTGTACATAAATGATCTACCAGTTGGTATACAGAATTATATGAACATGTTTGCTGATGATGCTAAGATAATAGGAAGGATAAGAAATTTAGATGACTGTCATGCCCTTCAAGAAGACCTGGACAAAATAAGTATATGGAGCACCACTTGGCAAATGGAATTTAATGTTAATAAATGTCATGTTATGGAATGTGGAATAGGAGAACATAGACCCCACACAACCTATATATTATGTGAGAAATCTTTAAAGAATTCTGATAAAGAAAGAGATCTAGGAGTGGTTCTAGATAGAAAACTATCACCTGAGGACCACATAAAGAATATTGTGCAAGGAGCCTATGCTATGCTTTCTAACTTCAGAATTGCATTTAAATACATGGATGGCGATATACTAAAGAAATTGTTCATGACTTTTGTTAGGCCAAAGCTAGAATATGCAGCTGTTGTGTGGTGCCCATATCTTAAGAAGCACATCAACAAACTGGAAAAGGTGCAAAGACATGCTACTAAGTGGCTCCCAGAACTGAAGGGCAAGAGCTACGAGGAGAGGTTAGAAGCATTAAATATGCCAAAACTAGAAGACAGAAGAAAAAGAGGTGATATGATCACTACATACAAAATAGTAACAGGAATTGACAAAATCGACAGGGAAGACTTCCTGAGACCTGGAACTTCAAGAACAAGAGGTCATAGATTTAAACTAGCTAAACACAGATGCCGAAGAAATATAAGAAAATTCACCTTCGCAAATAGAGTGGTAGACGGTTGGAACAAGTTAAGTGAGAAGGTGGTGGAGGCCAAGACCGTCAGTAGTTTCAAAGCGTTATATGACAAAGAGTGCTGGGAAGACGGGACACCACGAGCGTAGCTCTCATCCTGTAACTACACTTAGGTAATTACACTTAGGTAATTACACACACACACACACACACACACACACACATACATACATACATACATACATACATACATATATAGAGGTTGGTGTTGTATTCCTTGGTGTTGCTTGTTGTGGCATCTCAAGATTCCTTTGTCTGTCACCTAAAACCCTGGCATTGATGTTAGTGAGTGGGCGGTGTGGGTGGGCAGTGTTCCTTTCCCCCCGTCCCATCCTACATCCTTATCCTGACCACTTTCCACATAATGGCTTGGCACTTTCCCCTGATAATTGCCTCCCTCCCTCTCCATCATTGCTCTTCGGTGTCAGTTTCAGTTGTCCTGTCTATGCTTTCTTGTTTCTTCTAACTTGGCATCTTATGCCAAATACTGTTTGTTTGCATCATGTGGTGCTGGCAGAGCTGCTCCAGCTGGCATCAAGGTCAATACTTCAGTGTTCCCATTTCGTAAGCTTTCTTAGGTGCTGTTTCACCTCCAGCCGGTTCATGCGCTGCCTGAGCCTCTAGCTCTTTGGACCATTTTCTTTTCTTTCTTTCTTCTGCTCATTTTACTGTCCCCTTCAGTCTGGGATTTCTTATTAAGGCTTTGTTTTTGGTCTCCCTTATCCCCGAAGTTTTTGTGGATAAGTTTCATGTTCTCCTTTGGTGCTGGGAGTTTTTGTTCCTTAGACCCCTAAGGGTTGTTTTGTTCGTCTGCAACTGCCTCCTCCTCTTCTGGCGATGAATGAGTCTGTTGGCTTCCAGAGGGGGCCCATTGGTGATAGATGCTTCACCAATGGGTGAAGCCTTTCCGACATTTGCAGGAAAGGCGAAGAGTTGGGGGTGACATGATAGAGGTGTGCAAGTGGATGAATGGATATAACAAAGGGTGATATTAATAAGGTATTAAAAGTATCAACACAAGACAGAACACGAAACAATGGGTATAAATTGGATAAGTTTAGATTTAAGAAAGACCTGGGCAAATACTGATTCGGTAACAGGGGTTGTTGATTTGTGGAACCAATTACCGCGTAGTGTGATGGAGGTGGGGTCCATTGATTGTCTCAGACGTGGGTTGGACATGTATGTGAGTGGAATTGGGTGGTTATAAATATGAGCTGCCTTGTATGGGCCAATAGGCCTTCTGCAGTTACCTTTATTCTTATTTTCTTATGCTTGGTTGATTCGGCTTGGGTGCATTATGTTCTTTGTCTGGTGGCGGCTCTGTGCCACTGCCTTCATGCCATCACTTCTGCTTCGGTGAACTTGTTGTGGGGTTTGTCTGCTTTCTCTGGTTCCCTGTTCCCTGGCGCATGTTTCTCGGGTCATCCACTGTTATTAAGTCTATCCGGCCTGTGACATTTGTAAGTTTGCCGCTCTCTTGGCTGTGTTTGCTAATGTGTCTTGGGCCGAGGTTTTGGCAGTCGAACAGAGTCCCGGCAGTTAGGTATCTCGTGAATGATGCTGGTCCTCATCAGCCTTGTGTGGCTTTGGGTCTAGTGTCGCAGCCCAGTGGCTTCTTCCTTGTTGTGATACCTGCAGTGCTCCCACCTCCCTGAGGGTCTTGTGTCGCAGCCCGTGGTGTCTTCCTTGTTGTGATACCTGCAGTGCTCCCACTTCCCTGAGGGTCTTGTGTCGCAGCCCGGGGCTTCTTCCTTGTTGTGATACCTGCAGTGTCTGAAGAGTCCCCTTCTCTGTGGTAGGTAGCTATAGGGAGCCACAAGGGGCTTCTCCCAGACAACTAACAGTGAATGTTCTTAAATGCCAACGTCTAGGTGACCCCCGGTGGCTCCCCATCACCTCCCCCCCCCCTCCCCCCGCATGGAGTTGTGGTAGGAAGGGGAGGGGCTTCCGTCGTCATAGAACTGAGGGTGTTACAGCTGGCTTACCCAACCTGCCTCCCTCCTCCCCTCAAGTGAGGAGGGTAAGTGGGGCAAATGGGCTTGCACTAGTTTCATTAATTTTTGATCGCTTGTTTATATTGTTGTGGTACAGTAGTTCTTTTGGCGATTTTGAGGTGTCAATTTTTTTTATAACTAGTACAGGTAATGGTCTGTTTTGGTATGCAGACTTTGTGGGTGCTTACCCGGTGGTGGCAGACACGATTAAAATTAATGATTCAAATTATCGTAGTGCCACTGCTCGTTCTGCCTCTCTAGAAGGGACTAGGTTGTGGCCCTTGGTCCCCGGTAGGCTGAGAAGAACTCCATGACTGATAGGCACCTAGTAGTATGGCACTATATCAGCTTGAGGGAGCCTGTGGGGCTCATCCCAGGAACTGGAGGTTCATCACATTCAACACTGGTCTTGTATGCTTTGTTTACCTTGGTGTGTGTGTGTGTTTTAGCTTGCCCACCTTTCTCATGACCTTTTGTTGGTTAGGTGGGTGTTTTTTTTGTTACCCAGCCTGGGTAACATATCCCTCTCTCCCTCTCTATACACATTTGTAATCCCAGAAAGGATTATCTCATTAACATCTGAGGAATTAGCGGGAGTTAGATACAGAAACTCTGGATAGGTCTTGGTTTTTCTTGATTAGCAGGTGCGTCCAACAGCTTCGTTATCTTGAGGTTATCTTGAGATGATTTCGGGGCTTTAGTGTCCCCGCGGCCCGGTCCTCGACCAGGCCTCCACCCCCAGGAAGCAGCCCGTGACAGCTGACTAACTCCCAGGTAACTATTTACTGCTAGGTAACAGGGCATTCAGGGTGAAAGAAACTTTGCCCATTTGTTTCTGCCTCGAGCGGGAATCGAACCCGCGCCACAGAATTACGAGTTCTGCGCGCTATCCACCAGGCTACGAGGCCCCTTTGACCAGTCCAGCAATGAAGAGGCCTGGTCGACAACCGGGCCGCGGGGTCGCTGAGCCCCGAAATCACCTCAAGGTAATCTCAAGGTAGGGTGATTTAGTAATCCCTGCTCCTTGTGTCTTGGTGACCACAGGCCAGGTTTAGGCCTGTGGTCCTCGGTAGGGCCAAGAATGACTTGTAAGGTCTGGTGTGTGTGGACTGATAGAGTGGAGCCTCCTGGTAGTTGGTTCAAGGAGCCACCAAGGACCCACAGAAAGGGGCGTTTCATTACTTAATGGTTCAAACCAACTCCATGATACAAGGAAAAGAGGCCTGGTCCCTATTATGGTACAGAAACTTAGATTATAAAGTACTTTACAATAGTGATGACAGGTAGAGAGGGTGTTGGTGGTAGTTATATAGTCCAGAATGGCACACATTTCTGTGTCTGGCTGTGTGTACACATTGCTGTGTCTGGCTGTGTGTACACATTGCTGTGTCTGGCTGTGTGTACACATTGCTGTGTCTGGCTGTGTGTACACATTGCTGTGTCTGGCTGTGTGTACACATTGCTGTGTCTGGCTGTGTGTACACATTGCTGTGTCTGGCTGTGTGTACACATTGCTGTGTCTGGCTGTGTGTACACATTGCTGTGTCTGGCTGTGTGTACACATTGCTGTGTCTGGCTGTGTGTACACATTGCTGTGTCTGGCTGTGTGTACACATTTCTGTGGCTGTGTGTACACATTTAATATCATTAATGTCATATTTTGAAAAGAAATCACAAAATGTAATGTGTATGTGCTAAAGTATTGCAGGTAATGGAATGGTTCCTGCATGTTGTAGGTCCCTAAGACCCCACATGGTGGCCCAGTTGGTGGTGTTATTACTGTAGGTCCCTAAGACCTCACATGGTGGTCCAGTTGGTGGTGTTATTACTGTAGGTCCCTAAGACCACACATGGTGGACCAGTTGGTGGTGTTATTACTGTAGGTCCCTAAGACCCCACATGGTGGCCCAGTTGGTGGTGTTATTACTGTAGGTCCCTAAGACCTCACATGGTGGTCCAGTTGGTGGTGTTATTACTGTAGGTCCCTAAGACCACACATGGTGGACCAGTTGGTGGTGTTATTACTGTAGGTCCCTAAGACCACACATGGTGGTCCAGTTGGTGGTGTTATTACTGTAGGTCCCTAAGACCTCACATGGTGGACCAGTTGGTGGTGTTATTACTGTAGGTCCCTAAGACCTCACATGGTGGCCCAGTTGGTGGTGTTATTACTGTAGGTCCCTAAGACCACACATGGTGGCCCAGTTGGTGGTGTTATTACTGTAGGTCCCTAAGACCTCACATGGTGGCCCAGTTGGTGGTGTTATTACTGTAGGTCCCTAAGACCTCACATGGTGGTCCAGTTGGTGGTGTTATTACTGTAGGTCCCTAAGACCTCACATGGTGGACCAGTTGGTGGTGTTATTACTGTAGGTCCCTAAGACCTCACATGGTGGTCCAGTTGGTGGTGTTATTACTGTAGGTCCCTAAGACCACACATGGTGGCCCAGTTGGTGGTGTTATTACTGTAGGTCCCTAAGACCTCACATGGTGGCCCAGTTGGTGGTGTTACCTGCTTGATGGGGTTCTGGGAGTTCTTCTACTGCCCAAGCCGGGCCCGAGGCCAGGCTTGACTTGTGAGAGTTTGGTCCATCAGGCTGTTGCTTGGAGCGGCCCGCAGGCCCACATATACCTGCTTGATGGGGTTCTGGGAGTTTTTCTACTCCCCAAGCCCAGCCCGAGGCCAGGCTTGACTTGTGAGAGTTTGGTCCACCAGGCTGTTGCTTGGAGCAGCCCACAGGCCCACATTCCCACTACAGCCCGGTTGGTCCAGCACTCCTTGGAGAAAATGATCTAATTTTATCTTGAAGATGTCCACTGTTGTTCCGGCAATATTTCTTATGCTCGCTGGGAAGGTGTTGAACAACCGTGGACTTCTGATGTTTATACAGTATTCTCTGATTGTGCCTATGGCACCTCTGCTCTTCACTGGTTCTATTCTGCATTTTCTTCCATATCGTTCACTCCAGTACGTTGTTATTTTACTGTGTAGATTAGGGACCTGGCCCTCCAGTATCTTCTATGTGTTTGTGTTGGTGGAGTTCAGATATGCACCTTTGTTATCTTAGTATGGCTTCAATATTTTTTCAAATGTCATATTGCTCATAAAATTAACGTTGTGCATTATAAGGCTTGATCCCACACACTGAACAAAGCCTATTGCTCTCAGGTTAGCAGCAGTCTCAGATGCCATTGTACGTTCTTAATAAAGCATCCAGCAGGAGAGTCACAGCACTATTTACAGAACACAATCCATCAATCCCTGGTTAGGAAGCATATAGCTATGAGCCACAATGGAATATAATTTCTACTTAGTATATATATATATTGGCACTCAGTGTACACACTACAATCATCACTTTCAAAGCACTGCTAGCACCAATCGTTCTGTATTACAGAGCAAACCACAATGAGTTGCCCGTGTTCAGGATGTGGGGAGGAGGTGGAGGAACAACAGGAGGCCCTCTCCTGCGACGTTTGCAAGACATGGCGACACAGAGTGTGTGGCTCGGGCATGAGTCGCCCCATTTATCGTAGCATTGCAGTCTTCTTCAAGACGGGGGGCAAGTTTCAGTGGGTGTGTCCCTGCTGTGCCGACCCTGCCATGTCATCACAGGAAGGGAACAAACGCAGTGGCTTGTTGGTGGCTGGTGGTCAGCCCAGTAATGTTCAGCAAATGGAAAGTGTTAAAAATTCATCTTCAACCACTACTTTTAGTGCTGTCCAGCCAATCAACCCTAATAATAAAAAATCCTCCAAATCCTCCACTTCTGAGGAGCCTATTATAATCAAATATCCACAAGAGCAATCAATAAAGCAGAATATTGTCTCTGATTATTCCACACCTAAGGAACTGCCTATGGATTCCACATGTAAGCAGCCCATCAATCATGCTGGAATAGTTATCGAGTCATCCCTCTCTGAGGAGTGCACTCCAAGCAGGCTTCCACATAAGCAGACAGTTAGGTGGGCAGTTGTTGCCAATGGTACCAAGCAAGGGAAACCCAAACTTTATAACAGTCAAGGATACACCTACACGGTGCGACGGACTAAAGATTCGGTGACGTATTGGTGGTGCTCATCGAGGCAGTCTAGTAGCAAGTGTCCATCCATAGTAACACAAAGGGGCACAGTCTTTAGGCTTGGTTCATTAAGCCATAACCACCCTTGCGAGTCGACGACCTTGCTCTCGTCTCTTATTAATGTTGACAAGTTAAAGATGTTCATAGAGGACATCAAGTCCCCTGCTGCTATGGTGGAGGACACGATGCACTCTCGGTCGATGACGAGCTCATTATCGAGTGATTCTATTCTAGCTAAGCTTCATCAGGAACAGACATTGAGGTGGGAAATTGACCCTAGTGGTTCCAGACGAGGCAGACCAAAACTATTCAACAGTAAGGGATACACCTACACAGTGAGACTGGTGACAGAGTGCGCTACATACTGGTGGTGTTCCTTGAGACGGAAGGGGTACAGATGTCCGGCCACTGTAACACAGAGAGGCTCAGTTTTCAAGCCCGGCAAGGTGGACCACAACCACCAATCAGCCTTGTTGTCGACTAAGACCCGTGTAGAAGAGTTGAAAGAGCACACTGGAGACTTGACCAAGTCATCTGCTGTTGTGGGAAAAGATATGATGGATGATCCTACAACAGCTATTCCTCTTCCCAAGAATCAAATTCGAACTAAGCTGTCACAAGATCAGTTAGTAAAGCAGGCAGATGTACCCAAAAGTACCAAGCGCAAGCGACGGAAGCCAGCTGATAAAATGCCTCCGTATGTTTTCTTTAGTACTGGCCAGGATATTGATAATACTGAAAATATCATTGAGGTCCCCCAATCTGATGAAACCATTCAAGACAAGCTGCCACAAGAACAAATACTTCGTTGGCAAATTGTGCCCAATGGTTCTAATAGACACAGACCAAAACTGTACAACAATCAGGGATATGCCTACACAGTGCGACGAGCGACAGAATCAGCGACATATTGGTGGTGCTCTATCAGGCAAAAAGTTAAGAGATGTCCGGCCACTGTAGTACAGACAGGCAGCGTGTTTAAGCCCGGCGTGATGAACCACAACCACTTTCCTACCTTGAATCTGAGTCGTGCAGAAGCATTCAAAGAGCATTCTGTGGACATAACCAAATCACCAGCTGTTGTGGTGCAGGATGTGATGCCAACTTTGTCATCAGATATTTATTTCCCCAAAGACTCTGTTGCAGTCAAGACCCCAGAGTCTCAGCCTGTGAAGCGGGAAATTGTGTCTAGTTGTTCAAAGTGCAAGCGATTGAAGTCTGTTCACAACGGATTCTCAAACATTAATTCTAACATTTATGATCCTGTCTGTGATAATGGAGTGGTCATTGAGTCATCTGACGACCACATTCCAAGTAAGTTGTCACAAAGTCAGCCAGAAAAAGTGATCTTTTACCTTAATGATGGTCAGCCAAAGGAACATACTGAGACAATCATGGAGTTGTCGCCCTCAGAAGACCCAAGCCCAGTCAAGCTGCCGCACGACCTGCCACTTGGACACGAAGCTGTCTCCAAAGTATTGAGATGCAAGCAACAAAAGCCTAGTGATAAGCTTTGCTCAGACCTTTTCTTCACCATTGACCAGCCTATGAACAGTTCTGGAAGTGACATTGAAGCCTCCCACTCTGAGGACGCCATTCCATCCAAGGAGACACAAGAGCAGACAATAAAGTGGCAAGTTGTGCCCAATGGTTCCAAGCAAAACAAACCCAAACTGTACAACAGTCAGGGATACACCTATACAGTGCAACAGGCAACAAAGTTGGTGACTCAATGGTGCTGCTCATTGATGAAGGAAGGTAACAGATGTCCCGCAACTGTGACGCAGAGAGGAACCGTCTTCACTCCTGGCCAAATAAAGCACAACCATGAACCTTTATCACCGTCTACTAAGATCCACATGGAAGAGGTCAAGGAATGCTCAGGGAACATGTCCAGGTCACCTACTATTGTTCCACAACGCTCTATTACTCTCTCCAAGGAGCCAGCCAGCCTGCCACAAGGTCAGTCGGTACTGCAGGCAGTTGTCACTAAAGGTTCCAAGAGCAGGCGACAGAGGCGTGCTGATAAAATGCCCCCAAGCTTGTTCTTCAATGCTGACCAGTCTGTTGATAATGCTGTAACTATCATTGAGTCTTCCCACCCTAATGAACCCATATCAGTTAAGCTACCACAAGAGCAAACATTAAGATGGCAAGTTGTACCCAATGGCTCCAAGCGAAACAAGCCAAAACTGTTCAACAGTCGGGGATACAGCTATACAATGCGTCGTGTGTCAAAATCTGTAACGTACTGGTGGTGCTCCAAAAGGCAGAAAGGCAATAGATGTTTTGCCACTGTAAGACAGAGGGGTACAGATTTCAAGCCTGGCAAAATGGATCACAACCACCACGCTACCATACTGTCGACTAAGACCCGTGTAAAAGAGCTGAGAGAGCGTACAGGCGACACAATCAAGTCGGCTACTGTTGTATTTAAGGACATAATACACACTCCATCAATAGTTACTTCACCCTCGAAGGACTCTGTCCCAGTGTGTCAGCTGGTAAAGCAGGAGGAACCTGTACAGGAGGGTTCAAAGTGCAAGTGCCTGAAGTGTCCTGATAAAATATCATCAAACTTGAACTCTAACATTGACCAGTCTGTTGACCATGCTGAGATTGTCATCGAGTCATCCTCCGAGGACCGCTTTCCAACCAAGCCGTCACAGTCTCAGCCGGTAAAGGTGATCTTTTACTTTGACGATGATGACGGACAGCCCGTAAAGGACGACGGAACAATCATTGAGTCGTCACTTTCAGATGATTCCTTACCAGGTAATCTGCCATTACATAAGACAATAAAGCAGGAAGATGACTCTATTGAGTTCAAGTGCAAGCACCAGAAGCCTAGTGATGAAGTGGCCTCAAACTTTTATTCTAACATTTACCAGCCTGTCGACCATACTGAAACAGTTGTTGAATCCTCTCTCTCTGAAGCCTTCAGTCCTACTCAACTGGATGAAGAACAACCAGTTAGATGGGAAATCATCCCCAATGGTACCAAGAGAGGCAAACCAAAGTTATACAACAGTCAGGGATACGCCTACACGTTGCGAAAGAAAGGAAAGTCGGCGACGTACTGGTGGTGCTGCTTAAGACAGAAGGGTAAGAGATGCCCGGCCACAGCAATGCAGAGGGGCACCACCTTCAAATGTGGCCTGTCAAACCACAACCACCCAGGTGATCCGGCTGCCTTGTTATCGACTCGGATCCGTGTAGAAGTATTCAAGAGGTGTGCTGAGGAAGTTGCCAAATCAGCTGCTGCCTTAGTAAGGGATGTGATGCAAGCTCAAACAGCTGACTCTACCACACTACCAAAACCAGCAAACATTGCTAGAGCAGCAAACAGGAAGAGAAAAAGTTGGAAGCCTGTTTGTATTGTTTAGTTAGATTCTGAGCTTTGTACAAAGCAATCATCACTGCTTGTAATAGCTAACAAAAATTATAATGTATAATAAGATCTAAACTAAAAAATAATTTCTGCAAATATTGTGAATAGGTTTTAATTATGCATTTGGAAGAAGGACCGTAGAGAATTGCCAAAGAGTTCATGGTACACTGATGCCAGTTTCCTAATGACTGAAACTATTTACCAGAAGTGGCATTCATTTAGTGCACTAATGCTACACCTGGAGTGTTGACATGTATGAGGTGGTGTTGCCACACCCGAGGTGGTGGTGGTGTATCTGAGGTGGTGTCACAACCAGGGAGCTCATTCTACATCAAAGATGGTGATGCACTCGATTGTGTCAGCTGCTAGCAACACATGCCCCTCTTGGGTCTGGTGACAGCGGGCCGCTTCAAGCAACAGCCGGGTGGTTCAAGCTCTCACAAGTCAAGCCTGGCCTCGGACCAGGCTTCGGGAGTAAAACTACTCCCAGAACCCCATCAAGCAGGTATCATAAAGTATACACGACAAAGCTATACTGGTGAAGTACAACAGGTCCAGTAACAACAAGCACCACTACTATATACTGGTGAAGTACAACAGGTCCAGTAACAACAAGCACCACTACTATATACTGGTGAAGTACAACAGGTCCAGTAACATCAAGCAAGCACTACTATATACTGGTGAAGTACAACAGGTCCAGTAACATCAAGCAAGCACTACTATATACTGGTGAAGTACAACAGGTCCAGTAACATCAAGCACCACTACTATATACTGGTGAAGTACAACAGGTCCAGTAACATCAAGCACCACTACTATATACTGGTGAAGTACAACAGGTCCAGTAACATCAAGCACCACTACTATATACTGGTGAAGTACAACAGGTCCAGTAACATCAAGCACCACTACTATATACTGGTGAAGTACAACAGGTCCAGTAACATCAAGCACCACTACTATATACTGGTGAAGTACAACAGGTCCAGTAACATCAAGCACCACTACTATATACTGGTGAAGTACAACAGGTCCAGTAACATCAAGCAAGCACTACTATATACTGGTGAAGTCCAACAGGTCCAGTAACATCAAGCACCACTACTATATACTGGTGAAGTCCAACAGGTCCAGTAACATCAAGCAAGCACTACTATATACTGGTGAAGTACAACAGGTCCAGTAACATCAAGCACCACTACTATATACTGGTGAAGTACAACAGGTCCAGTAACATCAAGCACCACTACTATATACTGGTGAAGTACAACAGGTCCAGTAACATCAAGCACCACTACTATATACTGGTGAAGTGTTATGGAGAAGAGGACAATTTGCAGGTAAATGTTTTTGAAAATAATAAATTGTTTACTGAAAAAGAATGTGACAAAAATATGTAAACAGCAATTATAATACATTTCTTTTAAGTTTACTTATTAAATTGTGATATAAATATATTGCAGGTTAGTGAGCCTTGACTGTTGTGCCTGCGAGAGTAAGGGTGACGGACGATGTCCTTGACATTAAGGCACGCTCCGCAAGGGTGAGCTCGTAGACCAGTTCGCAGACACTCGGTCATACAATGCAGCCTCCATGTTGATACAACAGTGCATGATAGTACTGCAGCGAGCTAAGACACGACTCCATAACTACTACCCACCAGATACATCCATGTTGCCAGTACTTGCCAGTACACACACCCGGGGTGTTCAACAGTGGTCAAGATGGAGCAGTGTTGCCAGTACTTGCCAGTACACACACCCGGGGTGTTCAACAGTGGTCAAGATGGAGCAGTGTTGCCAATACTTGCCAGTACACACACCCGGGGTGTTCAACAGTGGTCAAGATGGAGCAGTGTTGCCAATACTTGCCAGTACACACACCCGGGGTGTTCAACAGTGGTCAAGATGGAGCAGTGTTGCCAATACTTGCCAGTACACACACCCGGGGTGTTCAACAGTGGTCAAGATGGAGCAGTGTTGCCAGTACTTGCCAGTACACACACCCGGGGTGTTCAACAGTGGTCAAGATGGAGCAGTGTTGCCAATACTTGCCAGTACACACACCCGGGGTGTTCAACAGTGGTCAAGATGGAGCAGTGTTGCCAATACTTGCCAGTACACACACCCGGGGTGTTCAACAGTGGTCAAGATGGAGCAGTGTTGCCAATACTTGCCAGTACACACACCCGGGGTGTTCAACAGTGGTCAAGATGGAGCAGTGTTGCCAATACTTGCCAGTACACACACCCGGGGTGTTCAACAGTGGTCAAGATGGAGCAGTGTTGCCAATACTTGCCAGTACACACACCCGGGGTGTTCAACAGTGGTCAAGATGGAGCAGTGTTGCCAATACTTGCCAGTACACACACCCGGGGTGTTCAACAGTGGTCAAGATGGAGCAGTGTTGCCAGTACTTGCCAGTACACACACCCAGGGTGTTCAACAGTGGTCAAGATGGAGCAGTGTTGCCAATACTTGCCAGTACACACACCCAGGGTGTTCAACAGTGGTCAAGATGGAGCAGTGTTGCCAGTACACACACCCGGGGTGTTCAACAGTGGTCAAGATGGAGCAGTGTTGCCAGTACACACACCTGGGGTGTTCAACAGTGGTCAAGATGGAGCAGTGTTGCCAGTACTTGCCAGTACACACACCCGGGGTGTTCAACAGTGGTCAAGATGGAGCAGTGTTGCCAGTACACACACCCGGGGTGTTCAACAGTGGTCAAGATGGAGCAGTGTTGCCAGTACACACACCCAGGGTGTTCAACAGTGGTCAAGATGGAGCAGTGTTGCCAGTACACACACCCGGGGTGTTCAACAGTGGTCAAGATGGAGCAGTGTTGCCAGTACACACACCCGGGATGTTCAACAGTGGTCAAGATGGAGCAGTGTTGCCAGTACACACACCCGGGATGTTCAACAGTGGTCAAGATGGAGCAGTGTTGCCAGTACACACACCCGGGATGTTCAACAGTGGTCAAGATGGAGCAGTGTTGCCAGTACTTGCCAAGAGATATTGACTGTAACATAAACATTGCTAATGTGGCTGTCGGCACAAATGTTACGTGTAGAGGAGCCGGAGAGGAAGTCATTTGGGCAGTTGTGTACTCACCTAGTTGTGCTTGCAGGGGGTTGAGCTCTGGCAGTTTGATCCCACCTCTCAATTGTCAGTCAACTGGTGTACAGACTCCTGAGCCTCCTGTGCGTGTGTGTGCAATATTCCTGTGTGCGTGTGTGTGTGTGTGTACCATTCCTGTGTGCCAGCCATCATAGTAGTGTAGGCTAGCAGAGAAGGCAACTGTCAGGAGAAAGTGCCAAGTCATTATAAGTATATGGCACTTGGAAAGACTAGGAGAGAGAAGTATGCCATTAACTCATTGCACAAGATCATACTGGCCTGTTTTCCTACTGAATTTTGTATACATATTTAGAAGTTGGGCCAAGAAATGATACACCAGGGTCGAAATGTCAGTTAAACATTTTCAGTAGTGGTAATGACATCAGATTAAGTACTGTTTGATCAGAGTAGTAATTGGATGGGTTTTATGTGCATTCAGCCTTGTCTTCAGCCTTGCCTTCAGCTGGGGAACTCTCAATAAAACAATGAAAGGCTTCTGGCCTCCGACAACGTTCGCCTACACACATAAGACGTGGGCCATTGTCGGGAGAGAAAGCCCGGCTTCTTACTTTCTGTTAGGTGAACAGAGGCATGTGGTGACTGGAAAGATCCAAACATGTTAGACCTGCTGTGGGTATTGAACTCGGGACTTGTTGGTAGTGAGCCACCTGCTCTCACCATGTTATGTCACTGGCATGTATTGTATTCATGTGACTTTGTAATATAATAAAACATTATATTTTATAAACTATAATATTTTATTTTATTAAACTATTATATATTATATTTTATTCATTACTGATTAAATTTCTGTAGAAGGACCGGAGTGTGTCGTCAACTTGTGACAAACATTACTTACCAACAACGACTTGCCTAATGAGAGGCTCTTATCAGTCCACACAAGTGTTCATATCCAATAGTTTTCTTAGAGGCTTTCTTCAGTAGCCTCCCTGGGGTGTTTGTTCATCCTCGGTACCCTGGGGTGTTTGTTCATCCTCGGTACCCTGGGGTGTTTGTTCATCCTCGGTACCCTGGGGTGTTTGTTCATCCTCCGTACACTGGGGTGTTTGTTCATCCTCGGTACCCTGGGGTGTTTGTTCATCCTCGGTACCCTGGGGTGTTTGTTCATCCTCGGTACCCTGGGGTGTTTGTTCATCCTCCGTACACTGGGGTGTTTGTTCATCCTCGGTACCCTGGGGTGTTTGTTCACCCTCAGTACCCTGGGGTGTTTGTTGACCCTCGGTACCCTGGGGTGTTCACCCTCGGTACCCTGGGGGTGTTTGTTCACCCTCGGTATCCTGGGGTGTTTGTTGACCCTCGGTACCCTGGGGTGTTTGTTGACCCTCGGTACCCTGGGGTGTTTGTTGACCCTCGGTACCCTGGGGTGTTTGTTGACCCTCGGTACCCTGGGGTGTTTGTTGACCCTCGGTACCCTGGGGTGTTTGTTGACCCTCGGTACCCTGGGGTGTTTGTTGACCCTCGGTACCCTGGGGTGTTTGTTGACCCTCGGTACCCTGGGGTGTTTGTTGACCCTCGGTACCCTGGGGTGTTTGTTGACCCTCGGTACCCTGGGGTGTTTGTTGACCCTCGGTACCCTGGGGTGTTTGTTGACCCTCGGTACCCTGGGGTCTACACCCTCGGTACCCTGGGGTGTTTGTTGACCCTCGGTACCCTGGGGTGTTTGTTGACCCTCAGTACCCTGGGGTGTTTGTTGACCCTCGGTACCCTGGGGTGTTTGTTGACCCTCGGTACCCTGGGGTCTTCACCCTTGGTACCCTGGGGTCTTCACCCTCGGTACCCTGGGGTCTTCACCCTCGGTACCCTGGGGTGTTTGTTGACCCTCGGTACCCTGGGGTGTTTGTTGACCCTAGGTACCCTGGGGTGTTTGTTCACCCTCGGTACCCTGAGGGTATTTCCTTGCCCCAGTACCCTGAGGTGTTGTATACCAGTGCTTACTTATCAGTGAACATGGGGTCGTGTGATCTAACTGTTTATGCCCGAGGCCAGGCTCGACTTGTGAGAGTTTGTTCATCCTCCGTACACTGGGGTGTTTGTTCATCCTCGGTACCCTGGGGTGTTTGTTCATCCTCGGTACCCTGGGGTGTTTGTTCATCCTCCGTACACTGGGGTGTTTGTTCATCCTCCGTACACTGGGGTGTTTGTTCATCCTCCGTACACTGGGGTGTTTGTTCATCCTCCGTACACTGGGGTGTTTGTTCATCCTCCGTACACTGGGGTGTTTGTTCACCCTCGGTACCCTGGGGTGTTTGTTCATCCTCCGTACACTGGGGTGTTTGTTCATCCTCGGTACCCTGGGGTGTTTGTTCATCCTCCGTACCCTGGGGTGTTTGTTCATCCTCCGTACACTGGGGTGTTTGTTCATCCTCCGTACACTGGGGTGTTTGTTCATCCTCCGTACACTGGGGTGTTTGTTCATCCTCCGTACACTGGGGTGTTTGTTCATCCTCCGTACACTGGGGTGTTTGTTCATCCTCCGTACACTGGGGTGTTTGTTCATCCTCCGTACACTGGGGTGTTTGTTCATCCTCCGTACACTGGGGTGTTTGTTCATCCTCCGTACCCTGGGGTGTTTGTTCATCCTCGGTACCCTGGGGTTAATACCTGGTTGATACCTGGTTGATGGGGTTCTGGGAGTTCTTCTACTCCCCAAGCCCGGCCCGAGGCCAGGCTCGACTTGTGAGAGTTTGTTCATCCTCCGTACACTGGGGTGTTTGTTCATCCTCCGTACACTGGGGTGTTTGTTCACCCTCGGTACCCTGGGGTGTTTGTTCATCCTCGGTACCCTGGGGTGTTTGTTCACCCTCGGTACCCTGGGGTGTTTGTTGACCCTCGGTACCCTGGGGTGTTCACCCTCGGTACCCTGGGGGTGTTTGTTCACCCTCGGTATCCTGGGGTGTTTGTTGACCCTCGGTACCCTGGGGTGTTTGTTGACCCTCGGTACCCTGGGGTGTTTGTTGACCCTCGGTACCCTGGGGTGTTTGTTGACCCTCGGTACCCTGGGGTGTTTGTTGACCCTCGGTACCCTGGGGTGTTTGTTCACCCTCGGTACCCTGGGGTGTTTGTTCACCCTCGGTACCCTGGGGTGTTTGTTGACCCTCGGTACCCTGGGGTGTTTGTTGACCCTCGGTACCCTGGGGTGTTTGTTGACCCTCGGTACCCTGGGGTGTTTGTTGACCCTCGGTACCCTGGGGTGTTTGTTGACCCTCGGTACCCTGGGGTGTTTGTTGACCCTCGGTACCCTGGGGTGTTTGTTGACCCTCGGTACCCTGGGGTGTTTGTTGACCCTCGGTACCCTGGGGTGTTTGTTGACCCTCGGTACCCTGGGGTGTTTGTTGACCCTCGGTACCCTGGGGTGTTTGTTGACCCTCGGTACCCTGGGGTGTTTGTTGACCCTCGGTACCCTGGGGTCTTCACCCTCGGTACCCTGGGGTCTTCACCCTCGGTACCCTGGGGTCTTCACCCTCGGTACCCTGGGGTGTTTGTTGACCCTCGGTACCCTGGGGTGTTTGTTGACCCTAGGTACCCTGGGGTGTTTGTTCACCCTCGGTACCCTGAGGGTATTTCCTTGCCCCAGCACCCTGAGGTGTTGTATACCAGTGCTTACTTATCAGTGAACATGGGGTCGTGTGATCTAACTGTTTATGCCCGAGGCCAGGCTCGACTTGTGAGAGTTTGTTCATCCTCCGTACACTGGGGTGTTTGTTCATCCTCCGTACACTGGGGTGTTTGTTCACCCTCGGTACCCTGGGGTGTTTGTTGACCCTCGGTACCCTGGGGTGTTCACCCTCGGTACCCTGGGGGTGTTTGTTCACCCTCGGTATCCTGGGGTGTTTGTTGACCCTCGGTACCCTGGGGTGTTTGTTGACCCTCGGTACCCTGGGGTGTTTGTTGACCCTCGGTACCCTGGGGTGTTTGTTGACCCTCGGTACCCTGGGGTGTTTGTTGACCCTCGGTACCCTGGGGTGTTTGTTCACCCTCGGTATCCTGGGGTGTTTGTTGACCCTCGGTACCCTGGGGTGTTTGTTGACCCTCGGTACCCTGGGGTGTTTGTTGACCCTCGGTACCCTGGGGTGTTTGTTGACCCTCGGTACCCTGGGGTGTTTGTTGACCCTCGGTACCCTGGGGTGTTTGTTGACCCTCGGTACCCTGGGGTCTTCACCCTCGGTACCCTGGGGTGTTTGTTGACCCTCGGTACCCTGGGGTGTTTGTTGACCCTCGGTACCCTGGGGTGTTTGTTGACCCTCGGTACCCTGGGGTGTTTGTTGACCCTCGGTACCCTGGGGTGTTTGTTGACCCTCGGTACCCTGGGGTCTTCACCCTCGGTACCCTGGGGTCTTCACCCTCGGTACCCTGGGGTCTTCACCCTCGGTACCCTGGGGTGTTTGTTGACCCTCGGTACCCTGGGGTGTTTGTTGACCCTAGGTACCCTGGGGTGTTTGTTCACCCTCGGTACCCTGAGGGTATTTCCTTGCCCCAGTACCCTGAGGTGTTGTATACCAGTGCTTACTTATCAGTGAACATGGGGTCGTGTGATCTAACTGTTTATGCCCTACAACCTGGCTGTTTATGCCCCTACAACCTGGCTGTTTATGCCCCTACAACCTGGCTGTTTATGCCCCTACAACCTGGCTGTTTATGCCCTACAACCTGGCTGTTTATGCCCTACAACCTAGCTGTTTATGCCCTACAACCTAGCTGTTTATGCCCTACAACCTGGCTGTTTATGCCCTACAACCTGGCTGTTTATGCCCTACAACCTAGCTGTTTATGCCCTACAACCTAGCTGTTTATGCCCTACAACCTGGCTGTTTATGCCCTACAACCTGGCTGTTTATGCCCTACAACCTGGCTGTTTATGCCCTACAACCTGACTGTTTATGCCCTACAACCTGGCTGTTTATGCCCTACAACCTGGCTGTTTATGCCCTACAACCTGGCTGTTTATGCCCTACAACCTGGCTGTTTATGCCCTACAACCTGACTGTTTATGCCCTACAACCTGGCTGTTTATGCCCTACAACCTGACTGTTTATGCCCTACAACCTGGCTGTTTATGCCTGATGTGCAAGTTAACTTGCTTAACATTAATATTTTCTTCATATTTTTCTTTAAAGTTGTGAATGGAAGTGGCCTGAACCTCTTCCTTCAGTTCACTCCTCTTGCTGACCTCCCATATAGAGAGGAGAAGAGAATGTCCTTGCATCTTGCACGGCCGGCTTCCATTGATATACATTTTTCTTACCTGTTATTAATTTTAAATAGGCTTGCTTGGTCCATTCTGTCTAGTCCCTTTCAAAATCTTGTATGTAGTTATCATATCCCCTCAATTTTTATTTGTCTCTCAGGTGTGAGGGTAAATTCCCTCAATCTGTTCTCATAGCTGTGTCCTCTCAATTCTAATACAGTACTGATCTAGTTGCAAACCTCTGAACTTTCTCATGTTTGTGTTTATGCTTTACAAGGTGTAGGGGTTCCATGCTGGAACTGCATACTCAGGTAATAGTCTCACACAGGCAGTGTATATGAACTTGTAAATCTCCTTGTTTAGATTCTTAAATGATGTTCTTATGTTTGCTAACATCCTATGTGCTATACACACAGAAATCACATTATCACGATATATCAATGAATAAATCGACAGGAACCGTGATGAGGATTGGAACCCGTGCACCGGGTGTTCCCAGGTGCCCGCCCTAGTGGACTGTACCGTGTGGTGGCACAGTGGACTAGAGC